TTACCCCTGGTCCCCTTTGGCATTTACTGATTGAAATAACTTTGGGTTACCCCTGGTCCCCTATAGATTCTACTTATAGAAATAACTTTGGATTACCCGTGGTCCCCTATAGTAGATATGACTTTGGGTTACCCCTTGTTATAATAGATAGAGATAAAGTATAAATGGCAATGAATGTTCAGCTATGTAAGATCTACAAATAAGTCAACATGATCAAAATAGTCAATTGACCCCTTAAGGAGTTATTGCCTTTAAAAGTTTGTTTTTTTTTACATTTTTTGTGAAAGTCTAATTACTTTTCAAAAATCTTCTTGTCTGAAACAACTGGGCCAAATACTTAAAAACTTTAATCGAATGTTCCTTAGGGTATCGAGTTTATAGATTGTATTCAGGGATTTGATCCATTCAAAAACATGGCGGCAGTTTCTAAAAATAGAACATAGGGGTCAAATGAAGTTTTTTGCTTTCATCTCAAAAACTAAAGCAGTAAGAGCAAAACTGACATAGATGAAAGTGTTAAACAGGTTTAGATCTACCTATCATGTAATCGTTATACCAATAGGACACCTCATTGTTGGGTTAATGTCCAAAAATAGTTAATTTTTAGGAAATTTTACTGTTGTGGGTTATGTATCATCTTTAATATTATTATAGAAAGATAGAAAGTGTAAATGACAAAATTGTTCTGCAAAGTAAGATCTACAAATAAGTCAAATGCCTGAAACTGAAATTACAGTTAAGTGATATCAGGCTCTCTAAGGTTAACTTTGTCTGAAGGAGTTAGAACCTAATTAGTCTGAAGGAGTTAGAACCTAAGTTTTGAAATACATGTATATTTACAAATTCAAACTACAAAAGTAAACTTTCATAATTGTTTGGTTGTTTTTTTTTTGTCTTTGTTTTTTTTTTGCATATTTGAAACATGCTACATGGTGGAGAAAAACACAGTAAGTCTTCAAAAGGGGTAGCGCTAGACAATAACTATTAACAAAATAGAAAGAATCATGTAGACAGAAAGTCTTTCGATGAATATAAGAATATGTTGGAGCAAGAATGATAATAATAACAATAAGAACAATGATGATTATGATAATATCATTTTCAGTTTTTAAAAAAAGTCCGGTTATTTAAAAAAAAGATAAAAATGCCAAATACGTTGAATTAGAAAATATACTTTAACACGAATATTGTTCCGAAGACTGTATTTGTATATGAGATGTTTGTTTTTATAGGTACAATTAAAGTACTTAAGATAAATTCATTAATGCAACTGGCGAAGAAACTTAACATGGACGAGGCCCACCAATTAGCTATACAGCTAAAGGTGTCCCCTTCAGAAGTAGCAAATCTTGCTAGTGAGCTACCTAAGACAGATGACTTCTTGGATGCAGTATTCTGGAAGTGGAGGGGGAGGCGTCCTTACGAAAGTCAGGTTAACTTTCTGGTTGCAGCCTTAGAAAGAAGTGGAAAAGAGATTGAAGCTGAGGAAGTCAGAACTGCTCACAAAGAGGCCAGGGAAATATGTTTTAGCTGGTAAAGAAGGAGTATTCCTTGAAGACATGATTTTATTCGTTCGACTTTTATTCTCACTGTGCATGTGTTACACCAAATAATGATACTAGTTTATTGATAATTAATAAAAACAACTAGTCGAGTTACAGCAGGTTCACAGTTTATTTTGGGGTGCATCCATCTTACACATATCAATTTCATTTTATTATCCTAAACCATGTCATATGAATTTACTATGTGGTTTGTTGTCAGCTAGTCTCACAGATCAATTTGATATCAAAATGGCTTCAAAATATTAACGAAAAATACCTGAAATAAAATTTGCGTTTTTGACTCCAACGAAAATTAAAAACTATAACGGACAATTGCCTGTGTACCTGCCTGTTATTGGTAAAAACCGATGAACAAAGAGTACTTGCCGATTGTTAAATTATTGACATGATGTATTATATTAACTTTTAAACTTCATGCTTTTATTCAATTAAATATATATATAACACATTCTCATTTTTATGATTTGTGTCAAAGTTATTTCACGAGGTTCTTGAAAATATGTATATGAAATAAATATAAGCTCAAAAAACATTTTTTCTCTGTTCTAATCTTTGACAGGGAGAATTTGAGCAACTCCACAAGCTTTAATAAATGACTATTCTAATTGCAGAATCGTCAATTGCATTTTAAAATGAGCTAAAACGATTCTTGGCGATAAAAATATGAATTTATAGTATCATCAGTTTTAAAATTGATCATCAATAAAATATGTCGCTTTTGGTGAAGCAACATCATTTGTTGATTTTGTTTACAACAACAGATTTGTAGCTAATATTACTTTCGATGCCTTTGTATGCTGTTAAATTATGCAAGATGCAGGGGATGTCATTTTGTTTGAACGAAGACGAAGAGAGGCCAATTAAAACCATAGTTTGAGGAAAAGTCAACAAAATAACGGTGGTTATCGTTGTTTAATGTAACATTGTTCGTCACGAAAATTATATCATATTACTTTTTTGACTACTGGTCAAAATGGATAGAATAGATAATAGACTTGATAATAAAAAAGGGTATAACTATAAACTATAGCGTAGGGAAAATGTCAGTCGATTAAACTATCTTAATATAAAAATTGTCAACAGAAAAAGAAAACATTTTTAATCAAAAGACATGTTTAAGGATTGTAATTGTTATTTATTTATTTATCTTCGTTTGAATTTCAAACCTTTTCGATCGTGAAACAATTTTGAAATAATAATAGCAACACATTTTTGTTTCTGTAGATCACTGCATTTTTCATTTTTTTCAATGTCTTATTTATTTGCTTTATGATTTAATTATTATGAGGACTTCCCCAACTGTTGATGACTTATTCAAAATAATGATTGTGTAATATTTTCACGGATTCTTAGACACCATTGATAATGACAGGAGTTGAACTACATCTTGTGTTTTATGTTTTTAAAAAAAGAAATGTGTTTCAAGTCTTCCTTCAAAATTTACATGCTTCATTGATATCAATGATATGACTAAAAATGACAATGTTATCTTGAAATAAAATTGTTATAAATACTTTCTACAGAACTCTATTATACTAATAAACTTTTTGGAGCACCAACTATAAAATGACAACCCATATCTATGCAAACCGATCAGCTCTGGAGGCACATTCCCAATAATACTGCTCAAAATATTGCGTTCTCCTGACTCTGGCTAACCCTCCAGATCTGGTAGGTATAAGCCCATATAAATATCATTAAAAAATAAGAAGCCATAGTGAAAGTGATTTTATCTGGTAGGAAACCATTTTGAATTTGTTTTTCGTTTATCGTTTTGTCATAAATGAGGCCGTTGGTTTTGTCATTTGAACTAATTCACATTCTGTCAAGTCCAGTCCTTTTATAACTGACAATACAGTATGGGTTTTGAAATGTCGTATGGTGACCTATATTACCTTAAATCCGCTTTATTTTGGTTCGGTTGGACAGTAATCTCATTGGCAAACAAATCATTTAGTCTTAGATACATGATTTTTTCATTAGTTGTTATTGGCTTTGAACTAGCTGTCAGCGGCTCTGAGTATTCTTAGATCTGTACTTAGTGTCTTTATTGTTGTGAGGATGTATAAATTCCGTGCCACGTACAGTCTGTCTTTTTTTTTCTTAGTTGTTTTTCTGCTTTGTATCGACCTGATGAGTTAGGCCTTTTCCACTGATTTATATAAATCATACCACATCTTCATATTTTTATATATACCGTATCTCCTTATTTTATATAGCTGTCTATATTTGTAACTGTAAACTTTTATTCATTAACATCAAAATCAATGTTGGCTTTGCTCCCCCCCCCCCCCCTTTTCCACCTACCACTTTTATAAGTTTTATCAAATTCACAGGGGTCTTTCCTATCCTTACATGTAGCATCTATGATTATTTTATTTTTAAACTAATAAAGTTTAGTAAAGTGGTCCTTTAGTGACCGCGATCTTGAATCTTGACCTATTGACCTCAAATTTGATAGATTGTTTTTCGTTTTTTCAATATCTTCCAATGTTTTAACTTTGGTTCCAATTTTGCTAGGAAAATAAGTGCTTTAGTTAAGAAAGCATTTGCAATTGTTTTATTCTTCCAATTTTAATAACACCTATCTTGATCTTTGACCTTGTTGCCCCAAAATTGATGGGATTCTATCTTCCATACGGTTAACATTTTGTTTAAAATAATCAAAGGCCACTCATGAATTAATTTGGACGGACAGACGGAATATTAAAAAAAAAACTATCCGCTTCCTAAAACGTTCTGGGGAGAATCAAAAGTGTCCGAGCTTCTAACATCTTTAAAGCTGTTGTAGATATAGAATGTCTGGCGGAGAAAAGCTCAATGAGCAAGTTGTTCGAATACGATGATAAAATGAAAAAGAAAAGAAGAAAAGTCACATACTAACTTGTAACTTTATATGCATTGGCTAAAAAATGAATATGTTAGTTTTTGTCAAATAATAGGAGTAAATTCACTAAACTAGTTATAAATGGTTATTAACTAGCTTACAGTGATTATATCTTTGTCACCTGTTGCTCATGTAAAGTTAACGGACAGAAGTACGAAAAAAATAAAGAAACAGCACAAAAGAACACAACAAAGCACAACATAAAAAGCAACAACAGGAAAAGGACAGGGTGAGATAAGGCCCTTGTTCGGCTTAAATTTTCAGTGAAATTTGCGCTTTTAATTCAAGATGTTTATTTATGTCTATCTAAAAGATGATAATACAAAAAAATATATACATGGAGCTCATGCAAGTACCTAATAAAGAATTCAATTTTATGGGTTTTTTTCTAAATGAATACCACCGCTCATGTAAATATTTTTTTGGTACCTTGATGAATTCAATATTTCCGTATTTTTGTTGTTGAGAAAAAATAAAATAAATGCTATCTTTTGACCTCAAAATCTCGTTGGTATTCAAAATCTATGATTTTTTTTCGGTTTAAAATTTGCGCATGCATATGTAATATTTATGCAAAAGTCTCATAATTTTGGGAATACTCAATTTTTTATCTGACTATTATCGTATCACTCCTTTCTGACTAAATAAGAAATATTAATATGTTGATATGGCGTCATTGAAACAGAGTTGGAGATTTCCTTTTAACAGCAACCGTACAATGTACTGGTAAAAGATAAATGTATATTTAAAGATTTAAAACATTGGGTACATGTCGGGTTGACATTATCTTCAGAGAAAGGACTGATCGGGTAAACACAGTCTTTCTCTTTTACAATTCAAACAAATACATAAGTGTAGTAGAGAGTATAAATGGTATAAGTATTTACGTAGTTAAAATTAAAATTAATTGTTAAATCAGAATTCAAAATGTTAGACGAAGAAAACTTTATATTCATCTTTTTGTTGAACAAATCCAATAACAATACGAAATAATGTTCATAAGAAAAATGACCAATGAATTAGGTTTGAATATAAGAGTGTTGCCTACATTGTCGAAGTGTGTATTTTATCTTTAATTGTATAGTGTACTTGATTAAGACATGTATACATGTGTCCTTAGATTGATAAAAATTTATTATATAACTGCGTAGTCTTGTTGTAGTAATTGACCTTTTGACTCTGATAACCACGCATACGTGAAATAGTCTGTCTGTCCTCTGTTCCTTTATCTAGAAAACTGAAAGTTTTAAAAGTCTTAAATTGATATATGGTGTTTACTAAATTTGTTAAAAAGCGAAAAAGTATTTAACAATTCAAAGATAAAAAGAAAACATCAACCTTATTGAATGCACTGTTACTGATTACTGTTACGGCCCGAGAACACAGTTATTTCGTAGTGCATTACTTTTAGACAAGAAACGCAAAGTAAAAAAATCGCACCTGCTCTATCCTAAAAAGAGTTTTACAGTGTAGTGTACTACTTTTGAGACAAGTTACATCAAAATTATAGAGAAGCCTATCGGCTCTAACTCAAAATATGGACAATTTTATGCTCAGTGAGTATGTAATTTAGTTTGACAGCTTCAGACATACTAATTTTTGACCTTTTCAAACTGGACCAAATCACTACTTTACCTTAAAATTCATGCCCCAATTTTTTTTTACATGTAATTTCATCCACCTATTTACTATTTTTGCATAAAATATAAAGAAACAAATTTGGAAGGTATATAAAAAAAATTGCAAGTTATACAATGTCCACACCATGGACTCTATTTGTCAGGACGATATAACTGTGTCCCCGGACCTTATGATTAACATGTGTACAACAGCTACGAAATTTATTTGTATTGTTCAATTCTTTGTCTTTTATTACACCTCAACGGAAAGACGAGGAATATTATTTTACCCCCGTTCTGCCACTTCTGTCCGCTTAATATACTAGGTTACGGTGCTAGTATTCATGAGAAAAAAATAGACTAAAAATTAAGAAGTTCAGCAAAAAAGCAAATATTTTCTGACAAATTAAAACTTGTTGATATATGCTATTATCGACAATGAAATATTTAAGTTTGTTTCATTTAAGCTCTGACATATGTGCATTTTGAAAAAAATCGATTGAACATGTATGTTTACTCAGCAGTATTATTAAAGTTGCAGATCTTTATTTTGCAGTTTTACAATTTTCTGCATTGCCATTTATTTCTCTATCATATGACTTGGTTTCACACTGCATTTTGAAATAAATACACAAATAAGTATGTGTTATCAAACATGCTTATATTAAAGAAATCTCTAAATGTTGCGGAAAGTTATTTCCTCCATAGTTGCCTCATAATTTGCGATAAATCGCTCTCCGACGTTCGGAAAGGTTTTCCGACATCTTCCACTGGATTCCAAACGAATTACAAATGCAACTTCCACGCAAGAATAAAATTATCACACTAGCTATAAGTTATAAATGCAAATTAACACTGACACTGAACTTCTGTAAAATAGTTTTGTAAAATCTAATTCAAATAAAGACAACAACAAAAATAAAAATATTTGTTTTCTGTTTCATTTTAAAACGACAAAATATTTTAATGGGTTAAACCGTTTTTTAAATTAACATTCCTCCGATTAGACGTCAACATAAACAAATAAGAGGTTCCAAGGAGCATGAAACGCTCAATTGGTATTTTTTGACAAAAATAAATTGGATACAATGCAATGCAACAAGAAAGGAGGCAGATACAGTAGATTCTGACATTGTGAGCATTTTTGTCCCTGTCAGATTTTCTCTTTCTGTTATGGTTTTCAAGATATCAAACAGTTAAAATAACACAATTTTGTACTAGATACATAGGAATCATTCATCGCAAGTTTTTTTGGCAGTTGGTTATTTAGTTTCAGAGAAGAAACTCTTTGAAAAGTATACGGCGGACACAAACATTTGTCAAAAATCGTCGTTGAAGGCTATAACTCCTTAAGGACTCCTCAAATTATTCGTATTTTTGTTGTTGTAGATCTTGTACGTGCATTTCTAATTATCTTTGCTGTTTACAGTTTCTACCTATCTATAATAGTTTTCGAGATCATTGGCAAAGACGCTAAAATTGTCAAAAATCGTCATTTAAGGACAATAACTCCTTACTGGGTCATCTATAGTTTTCTGTCATATAGACAGTTTTGTAGATCATGTATTCCTTTACCTGATGTCTTCCACAAGAATTTTTTTAGATCCTTTCAGTTACACGGGTTCCTGATGTAATAATCTTTCTTATCATGTGTTCCATCAAAAATATTTATTTTCTAGTATACCGTAATTTCTTTTTTAAGGTACTTGTTTGTATTGTATGGTCTTTTACGCATCATTTGATAAACCGTTACAAGACATTCAAAAAAAAATCAAGAAGCACAGTGAGTGCATAATCCCAGTTATAATCTTTATGGATTGTAGTAGAAGAAACAGATTTTAGAGTAATTTCTAATTGTTGGGGTGTTGGTACTGATTTTTTTGCGTGAACCCCTGAGGGTTCACGCATATTTATTAGTTAGAAATATAGTCTATGGAAGAATATTCGGGAGCTAAATTATTGTTCATTCGGAACACTTATTCATCTTATCTGTATTAGCTTCCTGCAATTAAGAGCACCTCCATACGGTGTATCTAAGATATTTAAAACATGGCAATAAAGAATTTTCACAGATCGCTAATTCACTTATCTGATATATGATAATAAACAATCTATAGATCCTTTTCAAACATGTATATTTATTGTAAAGCTACATTTTATGCATTGCAAGGGTTTACTGACTTGAGCAAAGTTGACAGTTGTACCCTTTGATAAACAAGTGAAAGTTAAATGGCCAAGATTTAATTATAACGACCTATGGTATCAAACATCTGTGTATAGATATTCACAGAGAGGTATTTTAAAATAGTGCTGTGGTTTCTACATAATGAGTTAAAGTGGGCTTTGGGCTTTGATTTGTAACAATAAAATCATTATGCACACTTGTCATTTTGACAAATCAGATAAAAAAAAATCTGTTTCAAATGAAAATAAAACAAGTAAAATAAAGACTGTTCGTTAATATACATTTTAACAACTTTTACTGTTTCCTTTTTACAGTATTCTCTATCAATTCAGTTATCTTGTAAGTTAATTAAATGTTTATTTAATTCATTGATGTCACTATTATTTCAGTGACCGCTGCAGAAAGTCTTGACTCGTTCAAGAGACTACTGCATGCACATTAAATTTCAAGTCCCATGTTTTTATTTGCACCATGTATAAATGTTATGCATAGCACAAATTATTTCCTTTCTGTTAAAATTATTTTTGGACTTGTTAAATATGCAAGCGCACACCAAAGAGTGACAGGATAGTCACCTAAATGACGGTGGTCACTTAGTGGTAGAAGTAGAAATTTCTTATGTTATTCACACACTGTAATGCTCTTAAATTTATGTGTGTTTTGGATGTGCACTAGTGATTGGTAAATATTGATACGTTTCTGTGTTTTTAATATATGTGACTTAACATCAAGAATTTCATTATTATGGAATCGTTCACTTTTGTACACTACGGTATCTAAATAGAGGGTGGTAAAAGGGAGGGTCGGAACACGGAAACACGTGAAATAACAAACCACAAAAACGTTGCACGGAAAAAAACCACTCTGGAAAAACGAAGCCAAGGAATAAAATCGTAAATATTAAGGAAAAAAGTACCAAAAGTTATTACTCAGCCGTTCTTGAAAATCATGCAGTCATTATAAATGGACATGGCGATCCTGCATGTGGTCACCTTTTAGCGTCCGTTAGTTGCATCCGATTTATCATGGTAATACAATAGGCTATTAATAAATATCTTGGGACCAGTAATTAGTTTATAATTTAAAACAATATTTGGACTGACTTTGAATTAGTCCCTGTTTACTTTTTAATCAAATGCGGGACAAGCACGAGAAAATCAGAGTACCGACACGAAACACGCAAAATAATTAAGGGAAAACACGAAGCACGCAAATCGAACCAAACACGAGAAAACGAGAAATAAAACGTCGAAACACGGAAACACGTGAAGTAAAAAGGCCGAAAACGTTGCACGAAAATAACACTTTACCACCCTCTTAATAGACCATACTAGATGTCGACACCTCATATTAGAACTTAAGTAGATGGTCAATTTCGTTTGCAAGGTTAAAGAAATCTTCAACTTGCTCTAATTTGCCTGTGAAGACCATAAAACCGTCATCCCTATTGACAGTGTAATTTGATGTTTTCTCTCCATTGGAACTTATCTAAGATTTTAATGAATAGGGCAGACAGATGCAGATCTGTACATGTTGGTGACAATGGGCGCTCCTATTATTTGTTTGTATAACAGTCCATTAAACTCAAATTCATTGTTTCTAAGAATTAATTTAACAAATGCAGTTAAATCTATTTTGTTGAGAATCTTTAAAGTATATTCTCATGTGTGTCAATAAATTCTATTGCATTGGTAACATTTTTTTCTAAATTATCAATCATCATATTTGTGTACATTGACGTACATCATAGGCAATAAGAATGCATACTTTTTTACCTCGTGTGACTCTATTTTATTAATGAGATTTTTTTGTATCTTGAATGTAAAAGTTATGCCTCTTGAATAATTGGATGTTGGATGTGTACTAATTGATAATTTAGTCTTAGATGCATGATTTTTTTAATTAGTTGTTAGTGGCTTTGAACAAGCTGTCAGTAACTGCGAGTACTCTCAGATCTGTACTTAGTGTCTATTTGTTGTTGGGATATACAAGTACCCGGCCACGTCCACTCTGTGTAGTATTTCTGTTTGTATCCATCTGATGAGTTAAGCCTTTTTCAACTGATTTTTATAGTTCGTTCTTATGTTGTACTGTTACACCACTGTCCCAGGTTAGGGGAGGGTTGGGATCCCGCTAACATGTTTAACCCCGCCACATTCTGTGCCTGTCCCAAGTCAGGAGCCTGTAATTCAGTGGTTGTCGTTTGTTGATGTGTTACATATTTGTTTTTCGTTCATTTTTTGTACATAAGTTAGGCCGTTAATTTTTCTCGTTTGAATTGTTTTACATTTGTCATTTCGGGGCCTTTTATAGCTGACTATGCGGTACGGACTTTGCTCATTGTTGAAGGCCATACGGTGACCTATAGTTGTTAATTTCTGTGTCATTTGGTCTCTTGTGGAGAGTTGTCTCATTGGCAATCATACCACATCTTCTTTTTTATATTTATAATTAGATCAAGTAAGTATCTCTCGCGGGAGAGTTACACTTATTGATGATTGGTCGGTAACGAACATTAATGTGTCCTGCTAGCTGACCAGTTTGCAATGCCTCATTACTTATTTCTAGATTAATTTTATGAATTTTTGGAAGAAGGTACATGTGTCCTCCATGTTTTGAATTATTATTATTCTTTAAGAAATTATACGTCTGGGAATCTTTTTTTTCACTCCTTGCTTTATATCTAACACTTCTCTCAACATGCCAAAATTGTAATGATTTACATGTACAATAAAAAGAAAATATTATCCCTCACACACATGGCCAAGATAACACTGATATATAATTTCTTATTCAGTTGAATTAATAATTAGAATAAAAAAGTTCTAAGGTTCACGTATTGTCTTTTTTTTTTAAAAAGCAACTTGTTTTTGTGTTAAAGAATGTAAAATATGTGAAATGGCATTGAACTGTGACCTAGTGACCCAAAAATCTGCATGGGGTCTCTTTATAAAAGGTCATTACCAAACTAAGTTTAGTGAATGTTGGACATATGGTTATATTTAACCCGGAAATTAAAATTTCAGCCTATCAAAAGCTGCTGTGACCTTGACCTTTGACCTATTGATCCGAAATCAATACGGTTTCTCATTCAATGGGGCTTTATCAGTCCAAGTTTGTGAAAGTTAGTCGCATGGTTCAAAAGATAACATCCGAAAACCAATAGTTTACCCAAATTTCAAACTTGGGGGCACTTACTATGTAATTAATGGTGGGGATGAGCCGGTAGAATAGGTCACTATTTCAAGCTTCAAGAAAAATGATAAGGTCGAAAAATTAAAATAAATAAATGAATGACAAGGTTGCTGTTTGAATCATAAGTAGTTCACATATGCGATTAAAACCACAATCGTAAATGCATCAGATATTTATCACATCTATTTATCTCTCACTGAAATAGCTTAATCATTATAGCTTAATGTATATGTTATGTTAAGAAATATATCATAGGATATGAATTGCTTTATTTAAAATATAGGAAAAGGGTGGGAAACTGGATGTCTCAGCTGCTCACCACTACCACAAAAGGATTGAAGTGCCCTTCCCCAAGATTTCAACCTACAAATGCTGCTGCAACCTTAATAAGGTTCTTTCTCACACCATAGTACATTATCACATCACATTTGGTAACGATATTGTTTATAGCCTAAAAGATGGTGTATGCCCAGCATTCATCATTAAAGCTTTAACAAAAAATTATTTAACCCCTCACTTATCCATGTGTTTATCTCAAGTCAGGACCCTTGTCGGTAGTTGTCTTATGACATGTTTTAACATAATAATTAGAGAATCAGGTATAGATGGCACGTCTTTGATATTTTCTGTTTAACTTATTCATTTCTTTGTTTAGACTCGTGACGATTTAGAGCATACAATGTGTATAAACAGTCATGTCTATTGTTGAAGACTGTATGTTATCCTCTACATGTCTATTGTTGAAGACTGTATGTTATCCTCTACATGTCTATTGTTGAAGACTGTATGTTATCCTCTACATGTCTATAGTTGAAGACTGTATGTTATCCTCTACATGTCTATTGTTGAAGACTGTGTGTTATCCTCTACATGTCATTTGTTGAATTAAGGAATGACTGTAATAATTTTTCTGTCTATGAAGAAATAACATCAAAAATGTAGTGCACACTGAATAACCCGCGTAGCGGGTTATTTTTAAGTGTGTCCACATTTTTTATGTTATTTCGAATAGACAGAAAAAATATAACAGTCATTTCTTATAATTTAATTCTAAATTTCATTTTAAACCAGAGTAAACCATGAAAAAACGTTGATGACGTCACGATCACATGACAAAATTATGTCTATGAGCTGATAAACAAAACAACGTCAGCCAATCAGAAGACGCGTTACATCCAAAATTTAATCATTTGTTTAATATCATTGATTTTGTTGTGTCGTTGGCATATTCCACAATTTATTTCATTTATCAACATTCCACCTAATTGATTATTGACAAAGGAAAATATGATTATAGGAAAACATACCGGCCGACTAAATGCGAGACATTATATTGAAACTGAACACATACATATATACTCAAAAAAAGTAATAAGGCTTTGTAATAGTTTCTCATCCCCCTTGTTATTCATTACTTCAGGTCTGTTTGATATAGTGTAGAATGTTCATAGTAATGCATTAAAGTCCAAAAATGTGCCAAGATTGGCGTTTAAATTTCAGAAAAGTGATATTGGACGACCCTTGTATATGACAGATGGGGGTAATAACTCATAGTCTTAGTCAATTAAACACCAAATCGCATTTAATTTAATTCAAATATATCAGCATTAATGTGAAAAAATATCAATCATGCATTTAATTGAGTACACGGCGAAGTCCACAATAAAAATTGTGTTCACTGGGTTTCCGTATATCTAAATTCGACGTCCGAACATTTAGCTCGTCGGATTCATATCTATCTTATTTGATTACCTTATACTTGTAATGAAACATAATTATCTAGAAACAAAACAAAAAATACAAAACTACATGAAATATAGAATAGCAATTGATTAAAAAGACTGAAATGAATGAAAACAGAGGAAATGCCTGAACGATAAATTTAAAGGAAATAATGAACGGAAGAGTAACTATAATTTGTCACCAGAAATTTATGGAAATTACCACTGTCACAGGATGAACATACCGCTTTTGTGTATCTATTCACTGGAGGCAGTCTCATGTCCCCCCCTAAAAAAGGCTGGTGTTCCTGTAAGATATTTATCAACTATTTAGTAGTTAAATTTAAAATTTAAAATAGATGCAATAGGAAATTTAATGAAATATATAATAAATTATCATATGTATTTATCATATTTATCACTATTACAATGCAAATAACAACATGTGATCAATATTGATAATATTTTATTTACACATAGTGCAAGGAAGGGGTGTTCTAAAACACTCTTCCTTTAAATACAGTTTTCAAATTATGGAGTATACGTGTGTTTTTTATTTAATACTGTGTTACGTATGTGTAATATTTGGACAAGATCCCGCGTGTTCAGGCAGAGATCAGTGTTCATGTGTGACTCCTGACAATCAAGTTATAGATCTCAGTTCTTTAGGAAAAACCGATGGAAATGCGATGTAAGTCCTTTCTGCATATAGCATTTTTATATTTAAATTAGTGTTAAAAAGTTATATTGTATTCTTAAATATTTTGTTTGTTTAACAGACTCCACAGTTAAGATAATATGTCTCACTTTATATTTTCAATGTACAATGTTACATTGTTGAGTAGTAAATTCAAGAAAAGTAGCTTATCTATTGTATCAATAGCCCGTTAACACTGAGGTTGTGAGAGTTCGAACCCCGAACGTGGCGAATGCGTTTGACTGCAATCTGAATTAACTAGGATTACCTTTATTTCCTGTCGAAGGTCTGTTGTTCTCTCCAGGCAATTCGGCTTCCTACACCAATAATTTATAACCGCCACGATTTAGCCAATAGTGCTGAAAAAAGTGTTCTCTAATTCTTCGTCAATTTATCCCTTTCTGCACCCATTGTATAAAAAAATTTAATCAACGTGTAGTTCGTTTGATCTTAGTTCTTCATTGGTTAAAATCCGATTATGACGTCGAATTTACTTGCTTTCCACTGAATTTCCTATTGTGACGGCATGAAAAAAGGCCACCATGCCTGATGACGTCACATAGAAAGAACACATCTTTTTACAGATCATTCGAAAAGACGGAATAAGTTTGGCTGCATATTGTTTGAAAATCATTAGAGAAACAGATTCCACCACCAAATCTCGTGTAATACGATATTTATCCACTTTCGACAGTTAAATTTTAAATATTTATAACGCTCGGCAAGCCTCGCGTTTTAAATTTGAAAATTTAACTGTCTCGAGTGGATAAATATAGTTTTAAATTTGAAAATTTAACTGTCTCGAGTGGATAAATATAGTATCACACTCGATGCAGTGGTAGAATCTATATTTAAACACTAACAATCAATCATCATAAAATGTTACAAGACTTTTTTGTTCAGGGACATTCGAACTTTGTTTATGAATCTGTGTATATATTGTGTTCCTTTTTTTAAATTTTAAACCGTTTTAATTTGTTTTCCCACTCATGCATGTATGTCTTTTTATTCATATGCAATATTGACTAGTAAACCTTTATAACAACAAGAGAAAACACTATACTTCAAGATAATGTCAGCACAACAAATTAATTTAGAAGATATTGTAATCATGTGAAAAAGAGACTTATACATTAAAAAAAATGAAAAAGATTGGGTTCTTTTACACATAGGTTTCCAGATTTACAAGCACCAGATGGTTACATGTATTCATACAATCCATGTTACCCGTTCACAGAAGTTGCATGTGTTGATCAGGCAGTAAGTATACTTAATATGCCAAGACATATGTAGGTAGGCCGTCACTGACTGGATGCCAGTTAAGCATATTTTCGATTTGCTCCAAGACATCCAATCAATTTATTCCGAAAGTTAAAGTAGATTACCCTTAACCCAGTTTATTATTGTTAAAGGTTAACGATTTTGTTTTAAAGATTATTATTACTATCTTTATTATTATTATAATTATTATTATTTTAGTTTTTTTTTAAAGGTATCGACAAATTGTAGAGCCTTGAATGTGCATATGTATATAAAAATGATATTTAGTTTGATTTTAATTTACTGATAACAAAATCAATATTTATACCAATACAAACAATATTCAAAGATCAAAATACAGTGTTGAATTGGTAACCTGTTAAAATAAGTTTATTTAAAGGATCGATAAGTTTACCCGGATCGTATCTTAATTTCCGGGCTAGGTAAACCACATTTCCGTAAGAATTAGGATGTACTATCCCGTTTGAAATACGTTTTCTACAGGTACAGCTAAACTGTCAAACCAAATCTTTGAATCTATGGAAGAATTTAGTAAAGGTTTTAAGTCATATGTGCCCTGACTTAATAATTTACCAGTAAAATATAGATTACGTTCATTGGAATTCAAAATGTCACAACAGACACGGCCATAGCGAACAAGTTGTGATATATAAACACCGTAAGATGGTGCCAAAGGAACATCACCGTCCAAAATAGGAAAATAACAATAGGGAACGAAAAATCGTCCCTTTTGTCGTAAACTTTTATGTAAAGTTTCCCGTGTAAAACTGAAATATCTAAATCTAGGAAAGGTCATATTTACGATGTGTGATGTTTGGTTTCTTCGTCATTTCGAGAGAAGGTTTTGTTTTTTCAGGAACAAGTGTCACATCAAAATTTTACCATGTTTTAATCGCGACAGTTGCCAAATTGGCCTTAAACTTTCTCCTGGTTAATCAACATTAAAATGATTTGACAGACGGAAACGTCACTTGTACCTATTTGATCCCCCTAAATGACCATTCAGAAAAATTGTACAGAGGTTACACTTAAGTTTACTAACCAAAAGATGTGATAAGATCAAAACTTGACCATATGAAACTTGTAAAGGATTGTATTTTTTAAGATAATGAGATAATAGTCAAAAACGGTAAAAATGGTAAAAATAATTATTCAAGGTCACTCATTAGTCAGTAATTCTATAAGGAGTTAATTTGATGATCTCGGTCATGTGACCTATTTGTATTTCTGATCATTTTTGCTCGCTACAGTTTCTGTCTATATCGAATAGTTTTCAAAATAATAAAATGTGGAATATTTATCATTCAATGGCAATAACATCTAATTGTATAAGGAGTCAATTAACTATTTCAACTATTTGACTCATTTGTAGATATAGTAATGATTGCTTAAAATGTGTGTACATGATTTTTTCAAAATTATTTTATCAATATGCAGCCAAGATTAACATTTTTTTAGATTTCAGTTTAACAACCTTCTAATGCAGTTATCTCGATAAATACTGAACATAAAACACCGTGTTTTTGCATGTATATTTCTAATAACACAGTTTAACAAATAATTTCTTTAAAATGTACAATTGTTGCTTAGAAATAACTTTTGATCAGTATCCTCACCACCATTGTTTTATTATTGATTTTCTCGACTTATTCATAGAAAGAATAATTTTCTATTGTTCTCGTTCACTAGATTTCCAGCTGAAAGTGTCCTATTATTGTCTGAACGCAGTCGTAAACGTTCGTAACAGAGATCTACGGATCGGGAATGGTCCGGTGAGGTCGGTCAACCACTCCCGACTGTTAGATGCGTCCCGTAACATTCGGGAAACTCAGTTGATTTTCTCTAGTCGAATTGCAATCGTGACTATATCGTGACAGATTCTGCTGTATCGGATCAAAATCGTAACAATGTCGTATGTTAATTGAACGGTGTCCTGTGGAACATGCATGATCCGGATAAATTTGTCATTGCCGTTTTTTGCCGATGTTGTCCAGATTGCGTATAGATCTTGCCGAATGTCTTACGTTCTCTGTTGGATCACATTTAGGAGAATAGGGACGCTGACGGGACACATTCGGTCGACTTTTAACATGCAAAGATACAAATCGGATCAGAATCGGATTGAAAACGGGATAATCGGGACGAATTTGACTGAAAACAGCTGAATCGAGACGCTTCCTAAACTATATCTGCTTGGTGCCGTGATTGAATAAATATTTTCACAATCTATTTGAATTACCAGCCACAGATCACAGGATTTTGATCATAATTTTGACAAATTATAATCGAGAATGGTCACATCAAAGACGAAAGTAAAAATCTTGAATGTGCAAGTTGAAATTTATTTAATCCTTTTTAGGTTATTCAATCGTATTGCAAACGATTTCCCTCGAGATATTGCACCGTCATTTAAGAAATTTTGCATTGTACAATTTTTTATGAAAGTTATTTTGAAGGTTTGTCAAGTTCCAGTAGACAGATCCACATCTTATCCAGCTGGAGACGCTACTTCCGCTGTGTTTTCAAACGATGGCATCAATAACCGTGTGACGTATTCCTCAACAGATAGCGCTGGCACGACAAGGTAGCTGTAATATTCATAACAATGTCATCAGCTTAATATTATACGACATTACACATTTCTGATTTAATACATGGGAAAGAAGGTATAAGAACAACAATGTCTGATAATGAAAAAATACTTACGTTTTCCTCATGGTTAAGTTACAAGTTATGTGATCTTTTTCTTACGCATGTTCGTGTAACACATCACATATATTACCAAAAAATATTAGAAATACAACTGACCACACAAACCACACAAACCAACAACAATCGATCAATACAAAATAAACGTAGTGCATGTACTGATTCTGTGTCTTGGATGGATACCCCCATATCCTTTGTTTTTCATGTATGGGCCAGATAGATTCACTAAGTAAAAACATAAACTGTGGTGGGGTTATACCAGTTTACGTGGCTGCGTAATAACCACAGCATTTGCCTATCTAGACCATTTGTAAAAGTACATGTGTGTAACAGACAATACAAAAAGTGTATAGTCCATATACCAACTTTAAGACGGCACATACTGAGTACTGGGTAAACTTTAATGACCGTTTTGCGAGATTCACCAATGAAAAGTTTCAGTCCTACATAATGCTGTGACAAAATTTAAGTGGGGAAATGTAATGGTTGTTTACATAACTTCCGTAGACCCTACCTCCATCAACCAAAATTCGAAAAACTAGTTGATGTATGCTAAAAGTTTGCATCATTGTGAATACACCAACCAATGGCGTATGCGCTTTAAATTTAACAACCACCACCCTCTCCATTACAACATATGATGATGCATATGTACTTTGTATTTAGAAACATAAATTCTATAATAAAGTGTTCTTTATAACCGCGCTTGTGCAGGATTTTATTCATCTACTAAATAAATTTAAGTGCAAACATTACCGTGATAATAATATGAAACAACTCAGAGAAGCATTTTTTAATATTGTCTTTTCAGGAATTATCAAACAGATAAAAACAAATCTCTCTTATATAGTTACTTACATTATATAGATATATGAAGATGTGGTATGAGTGCCAATGAGACAACTCTCCATCCAAGTAACAATTTATAAAACTAAACCATTATAGGTCAAGGTACGGCCTTCAACACGGAGCATTGGCTCACACCGAACAGCAAGCTATAAAGGGCCCCAAAAATTACTAGTGTAAAACCATTCAAACGGGAAAACCAACGGTCTTATCTATATAAAAACGAGAAACGAGAAACACGTATGAACTACATAAACAGACGACAACTACTGTACATCAGATTCCTGACTTAGGACAGGTGCAAACATTTGCAGCGGGATTAAACGTTTTAATGGTACCAAACCTTCTCCCTTTTCTGAAACAATAGTATAACATCACAACATAGAAAGACACACTATAAAATATCAATTGGAAGGCTTAACTCAATCAAAAAACGTAAATTAACACACAATGAACGAATAAATTTGATCTGTGATACCTGAATGCAAATACATAGTTAATAAAAATTATAAGGGATATATAATTAAGGTCAAAAGTAAATAAACAGGTTTAAACAAAGTTAAAGTATGATACCACTTTGAAATGTTAAACAAGTTTTAGAAAATCATCACTTTTGAAAAAACCTGCGTCTTATTATACACAGCTAAATGAAAATAATTTTGTTGTTAAGTATACTTCTTCTTCTGTGTGTATAAAATCTTCCGTTAAGGAATACCAATAAATTTCTTTAATATCAATAAAACTAATCTAACACTTGGTACTATGGGGTGAATATCAACAATAAAACTATACAATTAGTGCTAGATAAAACAAGAACAGTCTTTAAGGAGAAATGAAATAATTTTGATGTTCATAGTACGAAGAAGTGAAAATTTGTAGTAATTCCAAATAATCAAAGCTGGTATATAGACAAGATCCATGTTAACATTAAATAACAAAAAAGCATTACAAATAGTATCAACAGGTCAAATTAACAAGAAAGTACGATTTGAGAGTACTCGCAGTTACTGACAGCTAGTTAAAAGCCAAAACAATTAATAATAAAAAATCATGCATCAGAGACTGAAATCAACTAAAACACATCCCAGGGATTTAATATTTTAACGTCATGAACAGTCAAAGAAGACATGACTTGTGCAATGCCAAAAATAAATGTATCGACAGGTAGTAGGATAGTTAGGAGTGACTTCTTTATAGATCAAAATGAACGTGTGTGTGTCTCTATACATCCCGTTTGAAAAGAAAATACAAATTTAGTTATGTTTTAATTTGCTAATGACAAAATCGATATTAGTGCCAATGTAAACTATATTCAGAGATCTAATTACAACATTGGTACGATAACCCTTACTAATAAGTTTGTTTAAAGGTTCGGTGAGTTTACACGGATCACATAGTGACTTACATTATACATATTTTACAGTAATACGTGTCAAATATGTCAAATATCAATTTTCGCTTTTCAAACATTACATTTATGTCACTGTTGAGCCAACATTGCATTTCTGACACCGTTGAGGGCACCTTTCCGTTTTTTTAATCATAATTTAAATGCTTCTTCGTATACAAATGAAAAGAACCACTACTACAGATTCATTGATATTCGTGTGTGTCTTATTTTTTGTTGATAACATGTGTATAGGTAAAGAACGAATTTTATTATTCAACAAAATTAGAATTTCATAAAGGGTTGTATGCAAATTTGTCAAAACCACGAAATCCAGTATCTATAAGAAAAAAACATTTTCCTCAATCCACGAAAATCTGTACCAACGAATAAAAATGAATCCGTAATATTTGACTAAGTAGATTTATTCTAAACGTAAAGGATGTCAGAAGAAATGCATGCAGACATGATCAACACAATTTCAAGGAACTGTCAATAGTTATTTCAAATTAAATCATGTACTGCACGATCCTCATTTCACAAATAACAGTTAAGTTTAAATAAGAAGTACAAAAATAGAAAATAAAAATTTCATTTATAATATAAACCGTTATTATCGCCATCATATTTTCAACCGATTCTATTATTGTTTCAGAACGTCACAAGTAACACTTATATGTGATCCTAGCGCGAATACTCCAACAATGACACCTCTGGGTGAACAAGGGAGCAGCATATATGTATGTTATCTACTGATTGTGTTATAGATACAGATTGATTAATGAATATGAAAATATAATTTGGTTACTTAAATAGAATGTATTTATGATATCACAGTTAAGTCAAAATGTTAAAACATGTTATGATTGATTTATTTTGCAATATTATATATGTGCATTTTATGCATTTATGATAAAGTTGAATATTAGCAACAAAAAAGTAACTAAATTATGAAAGCAAATAGTAGCACTCCATATATTTCAATATTTTCTTTTAATTCTTGAGCTATATATCTTATATGCCAGTCTTCGAAATTTTATCTGATTCAAATTATATGTTAGATATTCACTGATGTCTTCAATGAAATGCATTTAATCTTGAACTTAATACAAATACTGTTAATTTCAGTGTATTAATTCCAGTACGTTTAATGCATTAACACGTTAAATTATCAGGAGTAAATCATGACTGCTCAATTGCGAGTTACGGGACGGAATCGTAACCCTGTTGAAAGAGTAGCTGACACAGGGTTGTGCCATTGTTTCTAGCTACTTTGTGTTCTTTGGGACTGAAAGTTTCCCTACACCGACATCTTTCAAAGGTTATGTTATAGGCCTTTTTCAGAAACTCATTTCCGAAGTCATGAATTTACTTTAAAATCTTAAAATTAAGCAGGTTATTTCCATTGATGAGCAGTATAAATGTAACTGCTTCTTGGCAATGAATAGTCAACGAATATCTGGTTTTAATCCCTGTTGGTTTACAGATACTTTTTGGTTTTCATAAATTTAGAAATCATTAACGGTTTTCTACCCAAACTCGATTTATAAAGCTAAAAATGTTTGTTTATTTAAGTTACAAATAGTTGCTTTAAAGATATTTATTGTCAAAACAATAAAAATGAAAAAAAGTTTAAAACGCTAGTTTTTAACTTACAAATGTACGAGGTCTTCTCCGATACAGAACATTCATTACATTAGATAATATAGGACAAAGTATGTTGCGAGGGATTTTGCTGTCGTCATAGAAAAAGTCTTCAAAGTTAAATGAGTAGATTTAGAAAAACCGCTAACTAAAGTTGAAATTATTTGATTTTGTGTTGCTCTAAATAACATACAGGGGATGTCAAAGTCAATATCAGAACATCCAAAAAGCTACACATAATTTTCTATTGCTTCCCACAATTTCCCTGCACTACAGCAAACCAGTATTTATGATCATGATGACAGAATACTTCCAAATAAGGGAATTAACTCGTATTCAATTTTAAAATCAGACTCAGGAGAAAGTCCTATAAACTCATGATGCCGGTTTGTGTGCGCATTTTTAGAGAAATAAACATCCATCAGGTCAGGATGAGAACAAACGTTTGAAAGGCCAAGTGTACAAAAAGCTTCACACCCAATTAATTGGCCTTTACAGAAGAGCCATACATTTGCATATAGGTCAACTATACCTGGGGAGTACTATTTATATTTCAATTATAATTCAATAACCATGACATTTTTATTTAACATGATTACAAGATTTATAGTGTGTGTCTTGTGAATATATTAAAAAATATTTAATTCATATTCAGCAAGATTTGAATCGCTTTAATATTTGTCTTCAAACATTTAAAGTTTGTTTATTTATTATTTCAAACTTTAGTATAATGTAAGCTAAATTGTCTTTTGATGTGTTTACACCATTGTATCTTACCTTTTCCACAATAAATCAATTTTATAACATCTTTCAGTACTTAACACTGACATCAAAATGTTGTTGCCCTGGAGGATGTGCAGATGGTCCTCCACCGACGGATCCTAGTCCAACGAAGAGGCCTGGTGAACCAGGAGAAGTAGATGGTCTAAGTATTGGCAGTATTCTTTGTATTGTGTAAGCTTAATTATCACTTAAAAATACGTGTCTTAATACATAATAAACAGCTACGTCAAGAGCACATTATACGCCCTTATTGTGCATATTGAAATTGTTGCAAAAATGAAATAGGATAATTCGAAGGCTTTAAACTCATATGTTCACCAGTTCAAACAATTAAATCAAGTTTCCTTTGAATCAATCAAAGCAAACTCATGTTATGGTACAATGTGTGAAAAATTATAAAAATCTGACGATTAAAGTCCCTTAACTCTTGAGCGACAAACCGGAAAATATAATAAATTGAATGTTAGCTTCCTTTCATTAAGTCCAACAATAATGAAAAGCTCGGAGAAATCAATCCAGAAATACATGCACTGGTGTTGGTGGGCTATTTGTGAAAAATTGTCTTGAATGTCACAGTTAAAGTTCCGTAACTCTGGAACGATAAACTGGAAAATAAAAAAGAATCAAGAGAGCTTCTTTTCATCAATCCCAACAATAATGTAAAGTTTGGGGGAAATCAATTCAAGAATACTAGAGAATGCGCGATTTATAAAAAGAATTGGTTAAAGCGAATTTGAGGTATCGTAAGAAATGCGTAAGGACGGACATTGGTATAACATAATACGCCCCCGTCTTCGACGGGCGTATAAGAATTTGTTGTTCTGTTAACTTTATCACAACTGCATTTTGTTGCTAACGGTCATCTTGAACTTTCAGTGAGGTGTGAGCGTACGCTACATGTCTCATTGTGACTTTGCGATTTAAAAGAATGTTAATAACTCTGTTCCTTTGTCTTTGGTTTTGTCCTGAATGGGAAGAGATTTTGTGTAACGAATCAATACATCATACTCTCTCCCTCTCGTAGAAAATAATTGTTAATGATGTTTATCTCTATTTGTCTAGAGTCCTTTGTGTTGGTGTTGTTTACTTGATCGGAGGAGTTTTGTTTATGAAATTCAGAATGCATGCATCAGGAGCGGATTTAATGCCTAATAAAACATTCTGGACAGGTGTTCCTGCTAATATCAAGGTATTGTATATACGTACATTTGTACACAATTCATGTACCAATCCAATTATTATTATTAGTAGTAAATGGTATAGTGACCGTGAAAGAATAAATAACGGTGGTAAAGTATTGCGATCTCCTATCGTGTAAAATCTGGTATCGGATCGTGAAGGAAATCTTATCGAGAATATGCATGCAATGTCACTAGATAATTTAATTTATTGAATTTTAAGTACAAATTTAGAAAAAATTAAAAACCAATTGTTCTGAGAACAATTGAAGGTCTTTCCACAGCAATTTTAAAATTTATTGAAAAGAAGCTAGTTCGTGTTTACTCAAAGTTAAAATTGGCATCTTATCATCAGTTTCTTCATACTGATGCGATAAATAAGTGGTTTCTATATACTTCTGAGTGATATAAGGGAGATAAATAGCTACTTCCGGTGAAGTAAATGTCACTTCCGGTCTTATATAATAGTTTCTTTCACACTGATTCCAAAAATATATAGTTTCTATATACTTTTGCTTGTAAACCAGGAGATAATTGGCCACTTCCGGTTTATCGAAAGTCATTTCTAGTCTTCAGTGATAAGTTAATGTATTAAAATTACAAAATATATGGATTCCGAGTACTTTTCCATGAAGAAAGTGCAAAAATACGGTTTATGAGTTAAAAAAAACATACCGAAAAATTTACTTGGTAAAAGTAAATAACTCCTTTAAAATTTCATAGAATCGCTTCGATCCAAATCAGCCAAAAATTTCTGAGGATGTAACGAACAATTTAGAAAAAAAAATTGTCGATATCTTTTTTTGTTACGAAGGAGATGCACACACTTGATAAACAGTGAATAGGGAGATAACTCTTACAAAGAAAATTGTTCGGCTTAGAATGGGTGAAAATAAAAAGCGAATAAACTGTATTATACTATATAAGAAATATCTTAGCAACATATTGCGAAACAAAAATGTTACGTGATAACAAAATTTGGCGGAAGAAAAAAATAATAATCAGAACAAATACAATAGGTCTTTCCACAGAAAAGTGGAAAGACCTAACAAAAGTGCCTGTTGGTTTAAACATTATGATCAGTATCTGAGAATATCAGAATTTTATAAAAACGTTTTTACAAAATTTCAAAAGAAGAGATTGCTCGCCAACATTTCAATTACATTAAAAATGTATATGAATGACTAAATAACTGTTTTTTTTTAAACAATGCCTTTCTATATAAATGTTTCAAATGACTCTTAAAGTTATTTTGTTGTTGCTGTAAGTCATGTGATACGTCAAATTTATTTTTAAAGTTGAATATGTTTTAAAGGAATAGGTAAACAAACATGATAGTTAGATAGGGGTAATCCAGGATTTTGTTTTGATTACTTATTGCAGACAAAGTTAATTAGCAGACAAATTTTCACAAAATGAAATACTTTTAGTCAATTATAGGTTATGGATTCGTAATAATGTAAGCAAAAATCGTGCATACAGGACTTAGTTTAGTATACATGTATGAATTGGCTCAATAATTTCCAAAACAATCAGAAAGTTTCGGGGGAAGGGTATTTGCATGGAATATTTACAAAAAAATATGTATTTATGATCGTGAAAGATTGGGAATCACTATTTTGTGATCGTGAAAAGGATCGTAAAAAGTAAAATAACAAAAATACCGAACTCCAAGAAAATTTAAAACGGAAAGTACCTTATCAAATGGATCAAATGGCAAAATCAAAAGCTGAAACACATTAAACGAATGAAAAACATCGGTCAAATTCCTGACTTTGTACATGTATACTTGAAAAGGTCCAGTGTCACATATTTGTTATTGCAAAAATAATTGAAAGCGTCCATATCATTCTGCAAGTATATGAAAGTTTATTATTGTACAGCAAAAGACTGGACTCCCATGATTTTTCCTGTTCACAATGTTTGGGAATAGAAATTTTGGATTTTGATGGTTCAATGCCATTTGATCTGGGGTTTTATAAGACAACGCCGACGAGTGGTTCCCTATACCAATTACTGTCCATCTGTCCGCCCATCAACATTTGTATGTCATATTTTAACTCAAAATCGCCTCATCTAATACCAATTCTTTTTATGAACAGTATATTTATCTATAAGTTGAAGATCCTTATCGATTTTTTGTTTATATAAAGGGGGGAATTTGGTAAAATCTCATTCTTTCAGGTTCAAAAACTCATTTATTTTGAGAAAAATCTTATTGAGCTAAGATTTCAGTGAAAAATTATAATAAGGTATAAAATGCTATTTCGAATTTATTTCGGTGATGGCATGTGAAAATTTGTGCAAAATGTGATAAAAAGTTTTTATCTAAACAATTTAGAAATCATGATTTTCTTCTTTATGTGCCAGGATTCAAACAACAACTAGTATTTAGATAAAAATGTGAAATTAATTGATTCACAGTGTCAATAGTTTTATAATGATAAAATAATGTCTAAGAAACCTCCTTCTGTTCTAGGATTTGAACGAAATTAAATTAAATTATGTGTATATGATGCTATTCTAAATTGATAAATGTGTCCAATTTGCAGTAAAATCTGAGCTTTTAAAAAAATCGCAAATTGTGAGAATCATCTTTATGTGCTAGAAATTTTAGCGAAAATTGTGACATAAGTATTATATGCTATTCCGAATCGATCCTCGCACTGTCAAAAAACTATCCATAATGATTGGTCATCATTTTCAAAATGACCGTCAAATGCTTAGAAGATATTTAGTATATGCTTGTAGAACATAATTCCTGGTTTAAAGTTGTGTTTGAACGTTTCAATGAAACGCAACGCCTAATTAGCGGCAACGAAAACAATAAATGATACGATTCGAAGAGAGTTCAGGCTTAAATTGTATCAGATACGCCGAGCTGAAGTTTGTACGTTCGAGTTGGAAAGTGTTACATTGTAACAGTTTACAGGATCACTATATCTGGATATATTATTTTGAGATGGAAAGCTGTTATTACTAGTGCTGTGTCACTGTGCTTAGAGTAAAGGAATTTACTACCCCTTTATATAAAACGTATTATTTGTATTCTCAATCCGATCATAGATCTTACACAACCTGGTCGTACTGCTTGACCATCGTTACTTGTTCTTTCCCGGTCATACATGTAGATCTTACACAACCTGATCGTACTGCTTGACCACCGTTACTTGTTCTTTCCCGATCATATTTCTCGATAAACCGAAAGACAGCCGTGATAATAGTCGTTTAATTACCTTAAGGAAACAATATTAAAACTCTTTGATTTTCGACTTCCATGAACCATAGCATGTCTATGTCTATATCAAATAATCTTCTTAAACAAGCGTGGGCTACAAAGTTAGAATAAGACATACAACAATAAGTGTAATGATAACATGTTCGTGTATGAGTTATGATTTTAATATAAGCTTTTTTGTTTTAACTTTAACGGTTGATTCATTTGTAAAATGGAAGAGTTTGGATCGATTTGTAATTTTGATTTTTTTTTATTTGCAGACTGGATTCCAGTACACATATGGCAAAGTCCGCGGGAAGCCATCACCTGGATATTCATCGATATGACAGAATTAAAACATTTATTAATAAGGACATACTGCATTATATTATTTTTATAATTTTGTACATTTCAGCTTTGATAAATGTTTTCATGTTTCACTTTGCGAATTTCACCTTTATACTTGAAGGATACGTTGCAATAAAACGATGATGTCACAGATACCTTTTATTATATTGTGGCATGATAATTTGAACTAAAGATTGAAAAAATGCACTGATTTCTTTTACATTCTAAAATTTTATTGTGTAGCGTTATATATATTGACGTTTCCGAGTATTTTCACACTAATAACTCTCTTTGAATGTCGTGTTGCAGTACACCAAAACTTAAGTTCATAACTCTAGTATGATCATTTGAATGTCGTGTTGCAGTACACCAAAACTAAGTTCATAACTCTAGTATGATCATTTGAATGTCGTGTTGCAGTACACAAAACTAAGTTCATAACTCTAGTATGATTATCTGAAAATATTTACAACAGAAATTCATCAAGCATTGACTTTAACAAAAATCTATGTTCATTCGGTTTTGGAGCAATGAAGATGTAAGGATTTTGAGAGAGTTTAAATGCATTCTACAAACGTGCAAGATTTATTGATTGGTGATTGCTTAACGTCGCGCGACGTCAACACACAAACATCTATCTCAAGAAATTTCATTCAGTCGTTTCTTAACGGAAAAACGTGAAATTGTAAGGACACCCTTCAAAATAATAAATCTGCGAGCGTAGATAACTTGAGCCTGTAATTCAGTGGTTGTCGTTTGTTTATGTGTTACATATTTGTTTTTCGGTTCATTTTTTGTACATAAATTAGGCCGTTAGTTTTCTCGTTTGAATTGATTTACATTATCATTTCGGGGCCTTTAATAGCTGACTGTGCGGTATGGGCTTTTCTCATTGTTGAAGGCCGTACGGTGACCTATAGCTGTTAATTTCTGTGTCATTTGGTCTCTTGTGGAAAGTTGTCTCATTGGCAATAATACCACATCTTCTTTTTTATAAATAAAATATCTATGATCAGAACATTTTCAGTGCATCTCGTACATTTTAACTATTCATTGTTTTGATACATCTTTTGTTAAATTTACATATATCAATGATCAGTCCTTAAAATATGTCGCACGAGAGCTTATTTGTAAATGGGCGATATTTCTTTAACTGCCGGGTTATAAACTGTGTTTTCGCTAAACCAAACTGCAGCTTACATGTGACGTTTTACAGGTAAGAATGCTAATAACTGTTTCTAGACGTGATATTTGTTTACAACTGCAGAATGACTGTTTCTAGACGTGATATTTGTTTACAACTGCATAATGACTCTGCAAGATAAAGTTTTGCCAGTGGTTTAGAATTGTCAGCTCAGTAGACCCAGTATGTAGCAATAAAGGTTTCAGGGCTTCTTTTTTCAACATATTGATCAAATAGTTTGTCAAAAGCATGTTGTGATTTTTATTTGAAATATAAGCGAAATAAAACTATATTCACTTTAACGCCATGTCTTTCCAATAGTAAGTGGCAAACTTCTCAAATAGGAAAGGAAAAACAAGAAAATGTGTGATCAGGTTAGAGAAGTAGCTTGTCTCTGAATCAAATCCAGTACAAAATTGTATTTTTATGATTATTTTACTTAAAAGTTTTGACATCGTAACGACGGACTAAACAGTTCTGGGCCGGTAACAAGAAGCTATCTTAGCACTTACGATCATCTTAAGACTGTCTTAGTGACTAAGAGTGTAACAAGAAGCAATCTTATATCAATCTTATAATGATTGACAGCCCTTAAGACATTTCAATTTCTTACGGATTTAAGGGAATTCTTTGCATCCCCTTATCATAAACTTATCAATTCGGGTAACTCGAATACATCTTAATTTTTTGTACTTTAGTAAGAACTCTTTGCATCAATTTAAGCATTTACACGATTCTTACTTGACACGTTTTAATTTAAGTGTGGTTCTACCCACCCCTAAACTACTCTTTGAATGAAAATGGCGCTTGTTTTACATATGATTAATAATTAACAGGCGAAGAAATCAAGATCACTTTACAAGACGATTATTCCATGACGCTGAAATCCTCATGATTTTGTGACGTATTGACAAATTATCAAGACCTGTCGGTTAGACATAGCGAGCATATATTATTTATGGCTATATCCTCTAACACCCTATATTAATACCAAGCCCCATTTTTTCCTGATACTCCACAAAAGAGACCTTTTTAGACACTAAAATATCAAAGAAATTATTGTGTTAATGCATATTTCTAACAACTGTCTCATATATATATACTGATCCTCAAATATAGTTGTAAAATTCTACGTCATGTGGTCTCTGGTAGAAAGTTGTCTCATTGGCAATCATACCAAATCTTTTTCAATGATCCTCAAATTTCCACCAAAACTATAAAACACCGTCGTTCGGGTTTACGAAAATTAATTAAATCTTTCCTTTATTCATAGATAGATAACCAATGAAAATGCACCGATAATTAACTGGTAATGTCAAATTTTCCCGTTGTGTGTGTGTGTGGGGGGGGGGGGGGGGATATTTCCTCTGGTTTTAAATCCGGTTTTCGTGGTTTTTTTTGCACTGGCCCATTATATTCTTTTTTTCTCTTAAATATTCCCACGTTGTTCACTTAATCAGGATCAATAATTTAGCAGAATATGTACACGAAAAAATCCTGTTACTTCAAAACGCACGAGAGATTTTTATTTGGCAATGACTAAATCAAAGAAAGAAAACGTTGACGGACAGGACGGAAAGTTAGTAAGTGTGCTTAGAATAAGCTTAAGACCGTCTTAATGGTATTCTTAAACGATGTTAAGAGAAAGAAAAGGGCGAGGAAAGAATGGTTCTGGTTACACTCTTAAAAGATTCTTAGCGCACTCTTTGTGCTATCGTAAACTATGACTTAAGAGAACTTTAAGAGATGTGTGTGCGTGAGCGAAAATAAACATTTTATATTGAATTTAAAATGTGTTTTATTCTATATGCGTTCTAAATTACATCATCAATTAATTCGGGTTAAAATTCAAATAAATTCGCATATTAATAGACCATCAATTAAACTGTCCATTCTCAGGAGCCTTTTCAGCAATATACATTTCTCCGTTCCATTTCGGCTCCCAAGATTCATTACCACCTTCTTTCTGATCTGGTTCACTTTCTTCATCATCAGAAGAGTTGCCTGGTAAATTTTCAAATGCATTTTTATGTTCGTTTCCATCCTTTCCATTTATTACATTAAGGTATTTGTCATCAGCTATGACGCGGTTTTGTTCTGTATTTACACTACTGTCTCTAATGTCTAGGGTATCTTTTAAAAGTGCTTCTGCTGTCAATCGTACTTTCTCCATTTCAGAATCATTATCAAAATCTCCAATATTGGGTAATTGAATGCTCCCGGCTTGTTCACGCGAGTGTTCTTTCATGTGATGAATTAACTGAGAGCTGTACTCGTATTCCTTATCACAACTTCGACATTTAAATAATGTACCCTCCTCTTGATCTTCATCATGAGTACGTGCATGTTTCCATAGCTGGGAGTTATCACTGAAATCTTTACCACACAAGGGACATACATAAGGGCGTTCCCCAGTATGAACGCGTTCGTGCTTTTTCCGGTCATGTGACTGTGCAAAACCCTTTCCACATATTCCACATTTGTACGGTTTATCACCTAGCAGAAAAAAAATTAATAAGATAATAAAGGTGAATTAAACTTAAGCATTTCAATGTTACCTTTTTTTATTTTATATATTCTATATGTTTCGTTTATTATATATCACTATCGAAATACTTAATGAAATTGTGCGATTAAGCAGATTTAAGATGAAAACGACTATCTCCCTTCAAACACATTATCAAATCTCGCCGACACTGGCATATTTACATTTTTTTATTAATCAACAGCCATCTTAAATCGTGGATGCGCAAACAACTCCGCTTTGCTTGCAACAATATAGACTTTTAATCTTTTTTATGGTGGTGGAAAAGCTACATGGTATTTCCGATTTGTAATGCAGAGTGTGCTACATCAAATCTACATTAATTTTTTTCACTTTTAAAATGTTTTATTTTGTGTAACGGTAGGGATCATGTCTGATGGCTGTATGGGTAGCAACACTATCTTCAAATGATATGTTCCCTCATGGACAACTTAGATCAGCATCTCAGTTTTTGGTGGGGTTCTCTTTTACGTCTGCTATTTGTTACATTCAATCGAATCAAATAGCAGAGAAGTAAACAACGGCTTAGTATTCATACTCTGTGTTGGCATAATTTGTGTTTTGAATATTAAAATAAAACGAATAGAATGAAGTTTGTAGTTTCTAGACAATATGTCTCCTGTGTTCGGGCTCTTGTGTATTAACATACCTGTGTGTATCCTAATATGTGTTTTTAAGTGACTGCTTTGGTTGAAACCTTTACCACATTCTTTACAGCAATAAGGTTTCTCTCCACTGTGTATCCTCGCATGTGTGTATAGTCTATCTTTTCTTGTGAATCCCTTACCACATTCCTCGCATTTATAAGGCGTTTCACCAGTGTGAGATCGAATGTGTCGTTCCAATAAATACTTTTTAACAAAAGTTTTCTCGCAAAGTGGACAATATTTTGTTTTGTCGGCAGAAGCTACCTTATCTTCCTTGTATTTCTGTCTGGTTAATTCCTTGTCAAATTCGCCATTATTATAAAGAATATGTCCGGAATGTATTCGGAGATGGCGCTGTAAATGACCACTCTGGTTAAATTCTTTATCGCAAATAAAACATTGATACGGTCTATATGTTGTGTGCGTCCGTTCATGTCTGCGTTTATCTCCGCTCTGACTAAATTCTTTTCCACATATGTCACACTGGAATGGTTTTTCTCCCGTATGAATGCGCATGTGTCGATTAAGGTGGCCGATCTGACTAAACATTCGGTGGCATATATCGCATCCAAATGGTTTAGCGTATCCCTTCTTTGTATATTCCTCTTTCTCCTCAACACATAGGTCATCTAAACTGTCCGGCACTGTTTGTTGATTAACAGTCAGTTCCATAGTTTTCTTTTTTCGAGGTTTGATCTTTGGTGGCCCATGTGTTACGAATATTTCAATATTCCGGCTAAAATAGTCATATTTATCATCCAGAGATTTCTCAGGACAAACACTTTCATTGAGAGGTGCCTGGTCTTTGTCTATTTGATACTCCTCGCTTACAATAGCTTCTAAAGGTTCGGATTTTATTTCACACATGTAACTCTTAATATTTAGTTCAATTTTATTAGTAGGGCAATTGTGGTCAAGAGTATCAGATGGTATAGGATCTCTGTTTGGAGTACCAGTTAAGTTGTCACTAGCAGACTTAGTTGACAAATTAATATCTACAGGAGAGTAAATAGAGGCTTTCCCGTATTTATCAAATAACAGTTTGTCCCTCATTAAACTTTTCTCGTATATTTCCTTAATAATTTTGCTCATGTCGCATGTTTCTTGAGCCATGTGAATATTATCGACATGGTCAGCTGAGTCTGCTTTGCTAAAGTTTTCAAGTGTTTCTATTGGCGATTCCCTAATTATTTCACCTCCATATCTAACTGAACTTGAGGAACAATTTATATTCGACTTAAAATGTTGTTTCTTATTAGCTGCTAGTTTGAGTGCAAGCTTGTCAATGGACGATAACATAGATGGTACATCTTGCGACAATTTTGTCGACTCTACCTCTAGTGGATTTCTCAAAGCATCTGTTTTTATTCGACCTGAAAGTATTTTTTCCTCGTCCTGTTTTCCTTTATCATTAACTACTTTATATTGATTAAAAACCTCTTTCATTCTGTTCGTTTTATCCATGGTTGTTAATGCTTTATCATTATCCAGATCAGTTTTGAAATTATATAGAGGTATACCGTTCTCTTGTATAAACATTTGATGATTGCTATCATTGAATTCAAAAGGTCTTTCTGTACTCTCTACGTCTACTTCCATCACCACAGGAAAATGTCTTTCTGTACTCTCTGAATCTACTTCCATGACCTCTGGAAAATATCTGTAAAATAAAGAGAAGAGTGATTTATGTTAATTCGAAACTGGTTTTGTTAACAATTCTTATCGTAACGCGGATAGTCGTTATTCAGGAAAACAATAACTTGGGTGGATAGTTGTCTCATTGGCAATCATGCCACATCTCCTTAATTTTATAATTTTTAATCATGTGGGTATCGATGGAGTTATCTTCATCTGGTATTTACTATAAATAAAGGAATGGACTGATAGGTGTTTAACTTTAATGTCCAGTAATAAATATTACATCCGTAACAGGACTGGAGAATGTTGATGTAATATGAATATGAACCCCACTTTTTGAACTAGACCAACACGCTGAACCGGATTTTCAACTAACCTTGCCTTGTACTAGACCGACATGTTGAAAAAAATTAACGCACAAGGTAGCAGTATGCAGTAAGACAATTCAACCTCCAGGCTACATTGTTCCTTCTCCGAGCCGATCAGTATGTCATTGTTCTTACTCCTATATGTCGCGTTCTTACCGGACAAGCAGCAAAAACAGTCTTGACTTTTTTTAAAGTATGACCACCAACTAATTCCCAAACTCGGATGTGATCACACTAGGTACCAAGATAAAATAAGGAGATGGGTATGATTGCAAATGAAACAACTATTCTATGCACCTATCAACGCTTTAGGTCTCCGGTTGTGTTGTATGAAGTAAATGTGCCTTTGGGTATACATAACATACTCTTGCTATGGATAATTTAGTCAGATATACTTGTTTACAAAAAAACATGGTTGGAAAAGAATAGCGTGGTGCAGCATTGATAGTTAAAAAAATATATCAGATAAAAAACGTTGAAAGCAATCGATATCGATCTACGAAGGCTTATATTATAGGACTATATTTAAATCTGATCTGCGTCAATGTAATTATTGAATTTTGAAACGTAAAATGACAAAAATAGGTTGTTATGTACACATGCAACATTTTCTTCAGGAGCTTCAGATTCAGAAGTTGGAACGGACAAATATTAATCAATGCCAAGGGATTATATATACTAATAACCAAAGGAGGTATACACAGAATAGTCAAAACCATATAAAACCAATTGTTCCTAAGGGATTTGAAACAGTAGCGAATTGAATATCGATGGATAGTTTACCACAATATATATAACTCTGAACTCTCAACTCAATTTTAGTGGTCTTGGTCTTGCAGTCAAATGTCAATTTTCTAGCAAAGAACAGCAATAAAAGCTATGTTTCCTTGACACATTGGTATTTTTTTCAGTATTTTACTGGAGTGTTGTCTCGTAAAACGCCTTTTTTCGCACATTCTCTTATTTTTATTTTTTTTAAAGCTTTGGTGCCCTAAAGCTAATAAGAGCAAGACCATGTAGATCCCACTTCGATCTATAAAAAAATTGTCAGCTTGAATATTCAATATTTCATATAGTTTTTACTTTCATTCCACGACCTTGCTATGATCCTGATAAGATCCTGCTACGATTCCGCTACGATAGTAACACGTTCTAGTTACGATCTTGTCCCGCTCTTGCTTAACGTCTAAGAAGACCTTATCACGACTTACACGATCTCTGTACGCTTCTACCAAGACCTTGCTGATCGCATTATGAGTTTACTACGATCGAACCAAGACACCACTACGTTGTCGCTGCGCTTTCGTTCCTATAAATATCTTGACTCGCATTGTACACACCAGTTTCCCTGAGAAAGCTTGCCGTCAAAGGTATCAAAAGTTAATGCATCCGTTTTTTTATATCAACAGAATGAGGTCGTGCAAATATCGTGGCTAGGACGTAGTAGTATCGTAGTACGGTCGTACTGAGGACGGCAAGCGTGTATAGTAGCAGCGTTCTATTGTCTTCCTCGTCGTAGTATAATCGTATCAATATCGTAGTAGAAGCGTAATAAAGACATAGTGAAATCGGGATAGTCGCAGTGAAATCGTAGTAAGGTCGTAGCGAAATCTTTTCCATTGGCTTCCCGATTGCACCACGTTTTCCAATACGATGATTCTACGCCCATCTCGATCTTACAACGTCCTAACTACGACCTTCCTACGCTTCTACTACGACTGGTTTTGGCCACGACTGCACTACGAATGTTTTGGGCATGTTCAAAGTGACCATGAAGTTCTCGGCACGTCCTTACTACGACCTTACCACGACCACCACGATCTTACTACGACTTCCAAAATTTTTCATAATTTCTGAGGTCGTATAGCGGGATCGTGGTCCTAGTGTGGTGGGGGTATAACGTAGTCACGAGCGCTTTGGGAATAATCACCCCTCCCAACCCCCTTTTATTTTTTTCTAAATTCATTTAAACTTAAATTTCTTTATTTCTTTAGTATTTTAAATATATTCTTGCACTTATCTTTACGATCGATTTAACAATAACAGTATTTTTTACCGATGCCACAGAAAATAAGAATATAGCGGCATCGGTCAAAATATACTGCTATTACAAGAATACAATAAAAAGTGAGAAAAACAAGTTAAAATACTAAAGAAATAAAAGAGCTGAATTTAAAAAATAAAGTAAAAAGGGGGTCCCTTCCCCAAGCGACTGTGGACTTGTGAACATATATTTGTGCCGCATAATACTTGTTCCCCCTGGAACAAAACTATGGATTATTAAGTTCTTGGGAACAAACATTACATAATATTATTTCCACCTTCATAAGACATTTTCCTGGAACTAAAACATCATATGGTTTCATAATATTTGTTCCTTTTATAAAAGAGTGTCATGTGATTTTTTACACTTGATTGCATCTTAGTTACTGTAATTAATGAATGTAGGTAGAAATAATTTGGATATTGTAGTATATATTCCTAGAAATTTGATCATACAATAAATATTCCTTGAACTTTAATTATCTAATAACCATGATAACTATTCCTGGAACATTTATAATACATGTAATATAACCAATATTCCTGGAACTTTTATAACATAACCAATATTCCTGTATATAAACAATGTTTTGTATATACAATATGTTTTAAAATGTTTTTTAAATTTTATTGTATGTTTAAGAGTTGAGTGTGACGTCCATTTTCACTGATCCGTACACATTTTTGTTTAGGGGCCAGCTGAAGCCCGACTCCGGGTGGGGGATTTTCTCGCTGTGTTGAAGACCCATTGATGGCCTCAGGCTTTTTTCTGCTCTTTGGTTGGGTTGTTGTCTCTTTGACACATTCCCCATTTCCATTTTTAATTTCATTTTGCCTCATTAGTTGTTACTTATTTGCTACCATGATAGAAATCAGTATATTTGTTATAGGGAACTTTGGTCACATAACAAAAATTCCAATTAAAAGTTTCAAACTGGTGGAAAATGTCAAAACATTGTCCATAATATTTATTCCAAAGAACTTTTAGCATACTAACAAAAGTTCAATTGGGAACTTTCATTATGTAATATTTTATCCTTTGTGAAGGAAATTTTGTTATAGCATTGGATAAAATATTATATAAGAAAAGTTCTCAAAGTTCTTTGGAACAAATATTATGGGGAAACTTATATTCTGTCAAAGACTCAGCGTCACATTCCCGCGTATTTAAGGTACACGTTTCTCATTCTTTTCCAATTCATGATATAATTTCTGGTTTCACAACTGCATCAAACTTCAAGTTTTCCATTATCATGCATCATCGGTTTTCTTGCCTAGTTTTTCTACGCATCTGATTATTAAGCCATTAGAGATCTGTTTGCTTGTAGTTGCTATGAACTAATTTCATGGACAACGATTAAACCGTATTTTCAGAAGTTCACCAGTTATAGATCAATTAATTGATGACTCCCACAAATATGTATGTCCCCTCAGAAATTTAACGGTTATTTATGCATGAATATTATAAGATATATATACTAACTATACGACAGAGGATGTCTTCGTCTTATACTGTATACAGTGTAATCTCTTTCTTGTTTCATCTTTGAGGATGTCAACTTTAATGAGCACATGACATAACTAACATCGAAAACATTGTTTTTTTCTGTTAATTTTTGGATAAATAACTCTCTATCTGCTATCTGACATTTTATATGAATACTGTTTTGTTAGGTGAAGTTAAAACGAATCAATAGCTCGAACCTTGCAGCATTAAAATGAGGAAAATCAATAAAAAATGTATTTCATCCGAATTTAAATTATTTTTTTCATTTACTGGGGTTAATGGTCAATGATGGTTTAGTATATCTTCCATTTTGAATTTTTGTTTATGCTTGATAGGTCAGAATTTTCATAATACATTTTCTATTAGTTTCCATGGTCTCTGTTCTGAAAATATTTTTTCCGACAAAGAGATTTTTCACAGCCAAAGTTTGATTTTTAATTTTAGATATGTCATAAATTTTCCATTCTCAAGAATTGACTATGGCATATGTTTATCTCTTTAGATTCAGAAACTTCACGGGTACAGTTAGCATTCGAGTCAAGAAGATACTGTGAGAGGGGAAGTACAATGAAAAAAACCACAAGATTGCATTTGGAGCCATTGTGTGGCCTTATTCAAGTATTTTCTACCATTTCGAAAGAACAAAGTACATTTTAGTTTTCCTGACTTTTTTATATTTTTTTTATTTAACTTTTGACTTTTGCGCTCCTTTAAAGCTATCAGAATACATTGGCGTTGTAATGGCAGGGGCGGATTCAGCCATTTATAAAAGGGCGGTTCCTAACACAGGATAAGGGGGGGGGGGGGGTTCCAACTATATGTCCCCATTCAAATGCATTGATCGTAAAAAAAAAAAGGATGGATTACCTCGTATTAATGATATGTTACATTGTCACCGACACAAAATATGATTGGCATGGCTTCCTTTTTGGATGCCCTCCCCATCCCCCTTTATTATTTTCGGGAACATGCTTTTCTGTTAACAAAGGGACATTCAAAAGAAAGTCTCTTAGTTTTTTTTTCTATTATTTTACATTACTTACCATATTTAAACATACATATATATATACTACTGAGTACACCAAACTGATGGGTTTTTTTTCATTTCTATTATTTTAGTATATATATATATATATATATATATATATATCGTGTATGTATCGTAATTCTATTTTGATCTGTTCATGCTGTTGGTAAACATATTTATTGTACATGATGGCATTCAATAAATAAAATTGTATTTCACCTATGTTTTTGTGTGCTTATGTATAGATGTATTAACCCATCTATGGTTTATGTATATCTTAATGTTGATTGTAAATCCTGTAATTTTGGATTTTAAACATGTTAAACCAATAAAATAGCTTTATCTTTTATCTTTATCTTTACATTTATCATATATATATACGATACATACTTCTGACACAAAATGTAATTAGCCCCTGGTATGTGTATATTAAAACGACAACCTTATCTACATGAACATGATGAATACGTAAACACTTTCAACATATCCTGCTCATAAACAAACACTCCATTATGCAGTAACGATATTAATAATGACAAACGCATCTAGTGAATGTAAATTTAAAATAAAGTTGAGTATGTCTAATCATTTACAAACCTGATAACTTAGTTTTATTATTGTCCTTTTCCAATCACTTCCTTCGGAGATAAGGATATTGATCGATTGATCCTGCTCGACGTGTGTACTACACACTTGACTAATATGTTTGTGTGTTGTTTACGGACAAAGAAACTTTATTTATAGTGCGTCATATCCTGCTCTTAGTAATGCACACATTATGCTATTTCCCACGTGACTTGGATTGTTTACACTGTAAATTAGTGACTGAATGTATTGTGTACAAAGATTACGTTTAAGTCTGTCTTAATTAAATAAATCATTTAATACTTAGAAATAACAAATAATGTACATTCCTGGTTCATTTTTGAACAACCTATTCAACATGTTCAAATTAAGGTTAATGATAATATTAAATGGGATATATAACTATAGTTCTACAAGTTTTCCAAAAACTTATTTTGAGTTTTTTGCGGGAAATATATTAAAATGCAATATTTTAAGGCTTCAAGACAAGACCTATGATTGGTCAAAAAGAAGTGCCAATATAACTTACATTGTAGGAATATATATATATATATATATGTGGGCTCTTGCAAGGGTTGCGGAAACAAACGATGTCTGACTTGCAAACAAATACTGGTTACCCAGACTTTTAACAGTCACTCCACTGGTACAGAATACACCATATTTTGCAATGTTAATTGCAAGACTACAAATGTTGTGTATCTCCTACAGTGTAAATGTGGTAAACAGTATGTTGGCGAGTCAGAACAGCCGTTTCACAAACGAATGAACGGTCATCGTAGCGACTACCAATGCAAGCCAGACCTCCCTCTCAGTCGACATTTGAGATCCCCTGGCCACACTAAGACAGATCTCAATCGACTGACCATTACAATCATTGACCACAACTCTGCTTGGTCTAGGGAGGATAGACTCACTCGGGAAAGATTTTGGATAAGAAAATTAACAACTTTGGTACCAAATGGGATAAATGAAAAGATGTAGTTCTACTCCATGCAGTGCTTCACATTTGGGTTATATTGCTTATTATTACAGTCTCTGTTTCTATTTCTTTACCTTACTCATCTCTAAAATCTGTTGAATATACCAATTTAAATTGCTTAATTTTTTGAGGGATGTAAAAGTACCAAGCCACGTTCAACTAGTTAACCTTTATTATCATATTTTAACGGCCGTTTGTTTGCGATGTTTAAATACGCAGACTCTGTTGTAACTACTCTACCGTTGTCAAATTTGAAATATTTACAAATTTAGATCGTTCAGTGCTGTTTATTTGGAATTCTTATTGACGCAATCGTTCTTGTAACATCATAAATGTCGTCACCATTAAAGCTTTAGAATTGTGCTAGTTCATATCGCACATTATTATTTTTATTTAAAGCATATATTTGAACTCTCTGTTGTAATTAGTCATATAACCTATGTCGTGTTTAACACATATTTAGAATTGTGCAAGCGTCTTACCTGATGTTCGGTTTGACTTTTTTATTGTATAAATTTCAAGATTGTTATAGTTTAATCTAAGTAGACTGATATATGATTCATTCAACATCACAATCATATTTACTGATGAAGGATATCTGTTATCCGAAATATTTATAAATAATTACATTTATAGTTCCTTTTTTTGTTATTGGTGTTGTTGTGTACACTTTTTAGGCGTTTATATATATATATATATATATTATTTATTTGAACTTAGTCTATCTTAAATCGAAACAGGAAGCCGAACTTTTCTCCTGTTTTATAGTATTTAATACAAATTTTATAAAAACTAAAATGGGGTGGCGGTTTCGAAGGAAAGATAAAACGATCAAAGCAAGTAAAAGTATCAAATCTTCGTTTTTGAGTATTGTTAACACCAAATAATGTATTGCACGGAAGTTTCCGACATATCAACTATTTTCGGCAAAAAAAAAAAGACAAACGTCCCAATGTGAGAAAACAAAGCAACTGGGAAGTCTGCTTCATGTACATGCAACACTGAAAATTCTGACATGTATATCACCAGAAAGATGCCTCTGCTAAAAGGACTTCTGATATTGGCCTAGAATGTACGAGGGATGGATTAGGTTTAAAGAATTAGAATAATGGACCAAAACATACAGAACAGAGAACAAGAGACTCACAAGAGCATGATTCGCTCATCTGTCCGAATTTTGCTGTTTATAGTTTCTACCTTTCTTTTTTAGTTTTCGAGATAAAAGGCAAAATCTTGAAATAAGTAAACACATCTTCATTGAATGCCTTTATAAGGAATCATCAATCGTTTTCCGTCATTTTTGTGTATGTAGATCTTCAATTCGATCATTGCTGATAATTTGTGATGCTCAATTTTCTACACAATGTAAATATCCTGTTGGTTTTCGATATAATAGGCAAAGGAAATTCGACTCTTATACCGGTTCAATTGACGATTTCAGCCATGTTGACTTATTTGTAGATTTATTTTGCTGAACATTCTTGCTATTTACAATTAACCTCTATGTATTATAGTTAATGCAAAACGGACCAAAAATCGGTCTTGCAATGGCAATAACTCCTACAGTGAGTCAACAGCCAATTTCGGTCATCTCGACTTATTTGTAGATCTTATTTTGCTGGATATTTTTGTTCCCGACAATTTCTCTCTATCTAAAATGTATTATAGTTTCTTCCAAAGAAGTGGTTAAAATCGCCTTTTAAGGGCAACTAGACATGCTGTTCGGTGTAAGCTAAGGCTCCATGTTGAAGACCGTAATTTGACCTATAATTGTTTACTTTTATAAATTTTGACTTGGATGGAGAGTTGTCTCATTGGCACTCATATCACATCTTCTTATATCTATTATTGAGATGGGAGCCATCTCTGTGGGTCCCGCTGTAAATAACAGGTTACTATTTGACTATTAAAGATGTTTGTGGTTGAATCTCTTAGAGCAGGTTACATGTGCTATTAAACAGTACACCGGATGCACTTTACCCTTAATTTTAGAAATATAATATAAAAGAAACTCAAAAAAAACTCAACAACACATGTGGACACAAACATGCATAAACAGTATCCAGCTCTCAAGACCAATACTAGTCTGATGAAAAATTTCCTTGATCAATGAGTAGTTAAATTTCAAACTATCAGCAAACAGGAAGTTGATGTACTGAAGATGTGTTGAAACGACATGAAAATCAGCATATCAGAACAAAACATAAACTTGATCTGTAACACATCATGGTTAACTCACATACCAAAAATCAACCCAATATCTAAAGGCGTTTAGAAAAAAAATCAGTATAACTGTGATTTTCAACAATTTATCAAAGTCCAAAGCCCGTGATTTCGGCAAAAATTAGCAGAACGGAACAAAACTTAAACTTGATCTGTAACTCAACATGGTTAACTCACATACCAAAAATCAGCCCAATATCTGAAGGCGTTTAGAAAAAAAGTCCGTATTACTGTGATTTTCAATAATTTATCAAAGTCCAAAGCCCGTAACTTCGGCAAAAATTAGCAGAGCGGAACGAAACTTAAACTTGATCTGTAACTCATCATGCATGGTTAACTCACATACCAAAAATCAGCCCAATATCTGAAGGCGTTTAGAAAAAAAGTCCGTATAACTGTGATTTTCAACAATTTATCAAAGTCCAAAGCCCGTAATTTCGGCAAAAATTAGCAGAGCGGAACAAAACTTAAACTTGATCTGTAACTCAACATGGTTAACTCACATACAAAAAATCAGCCCAATATCTGAAGGTGTTTAGAAAAAAAGTCCGTATAGCTGTGATTTCAATAATTTATCAAAGTCCAAAGCCCGTAATTTCGGCAAAAATTAGCAGAGCGGAACGAAACTTAAACTTGATCTGTAACTCAACATGGTTAACTCACATACAAAAAATCAGCCCAATATCTGAAGGCGTTTAGAAAAAAAGTCCGTATAACTGTGATTTTCAATAATTTATCAAAGTCCAAAGCCCGTAATTTCGGCAAAAATTAGCAGAGCGGAACGAAACTTGAACTTGATCTGTAACTCATCATGGTTAACTCACATACCAAAAATCAGCCCAATATCTGAAGGCGTTTAGAAAAAAAGTCCGTATAACTGTGATTTTCAATAATTTATCAAAGTCCAAAGCCCGTAATTTCGGCAAAAATTAGCAGAGCGGAACGAAACTTGAACTTGATCTGTAACTCATCATGGTTAACTAACATACAAAAAATCAGCCCAATATCTGAAGGCGTTTAGAAAAAATGTCCGTATAATGGTTTGTTGCGGAATGACAGAATGACGGACAAGGGTAAAACTATATGGCCCCGACAACTTTGTTGTGGGGCCATGAAAAAAAACTTCTTGAAATAGACCCAAGTTATTTCGCATTACATGTCAAGCCAGAATTATGCCATTTAAATTGTTGAAACTTTGTACTGTATCTGTATTCACTAGATTAAATATTTCTATAAAACAGTCCATTTTTAAAGTACAGTAAATATTTTTATCATGTGGAAATCTATACGCCAATCTCCCTATCTTGGTTTATTTTATCTTTCGGAGTGATAACACAACATGTCCTGTTGGAGTAATATCTCCACATATAATTACTGACAAGAGAACAGAACTAAGACAGTTGTATGGATTGATGGAAAACGACAGAAAGATGAATTCTGCAGCAAACGTTGAGGACTACAATGACAATGATCAGCATCAGTTTTCGTGTGGTAAAAACTTTGTATGGATAAGCTGAAATGAAGCACTTTTTTAAGTTATTACATAGTCTCGTTATGTGCTGAGAGTGATTTTATTCTATGTTTTTTAGTTAAAGTGTTATATTTGGCCTAGGAAGTTGAACATTACATTATGACACACCCTCTTGTGTTGGTTAATATAAATGTCAAGTATAAACTTTGAAATCATAACGGTTCTCAAGATATAGAGCGGACATGATCTGTACCATAGGACATGGGGTTGTCAACTGAAACCAAAGTTTTTGACCTTGAACTTTGACCTAGGAAGTTGTACAAACATTATGACACACCCTCTGGTGTTGGTTAATATACATGTCAAGTATAAAGTATGAAATTATAACGGTTCTCTAGATATAGAGCGGACACAATTTGTTACGGACAGATGGACGGACGGACTGATCACTATAGGGCCCTAATAAATCCTATACAAGATCAATAGACAATTTCGGCCATGGTGACTTATTGGAAGATCATATTTTGCTGAACATTTTCACTACATACAATATCTCTATCAATTATAGTTTCTGCAAATAATTTGTAAGGGGTTCCGTGGAACCCTGTGTCTCGCCTAGTAGACGATTGCTGCTGTCAGTGTAAAAGTGTACAGTTGTACAGTAATGTTGACTTAAAAAGTGAGTCCATTTATCAGTACAATACAGAATGTTAAAAAATATTCAAACTTTCTCTTTAGATTCTATTTTTTGGTCTTGAAGATTAGCTTCTGTCCAAGTTTCATAACAATCCATGAAGGTTAACAAACTTATCATGTCAAAAAATATTTAATCCCAGACTGTCAGGAAATGTTATCTGTAAAAAAAGTCCATCTATCAGAAAAATACTGAAAATGAAAATATATTTTCAAAAGTGTGCTTCAGACATTATCTCTTAATCATAAAAAAGTTTCATAAAATTCTATGAAGGTTTGAAAAAGTATTTGATGTGTATCAAACTTTAATCCCAGACTGTATCTATTTGTTAAATGTAAAAAAACTAAGTCCATTTATCAGTAAAATACGGAAATATGAAAATAAACATTTTCAAAATTTTGCTCTGGATACTGTATTTTGGTCATAAACAAGCTTTTGTCTAAATTTCATCAAATTCCATGAAGGTTTGATAAAGTTATTGATGACTGAAAAACTTTTACCTTAGACTGAATATGAAATCAGAATGTTAACTGTAAAAAATAAACTGCTTCGCTGAGCGCATCTGGATACGCCCGCAGAGGTCCAACCCTGAACAGTTGGGGGCAAAAATGGACACAATATTCAAGCTTGATACAGGTCTGAATTTGGATTGTAATTAAATCTTTGACATATTATAGGTTTTTGAATAAATGTAGTCAAAGAACTTGAAATTGGTTATATGAATTGAATTTATATTCAATTAAAGATTTCTTGCTGTTGTGCAATACACTATGCTTTTGCGCAATACTTGGTAAATCTACTCAGTAAATCTGTCAGACTATAAACAAATAAAATTTATAAAATTCTAAAGGGAGCTTACATCAATAGATATAATCAATTCACCAAAGTTTCATAAGAATTGTTGAAACCATTTTTGAGTTATTGTCTGAAAACTGGAAAATCCCCCCTTTCTTAATGAATAAAACCCCATAACTCGGAAATGTAAAATCTAAAATTTATAAAATTCTAAAGGGAGCTTACATCAATAGATATCAACAATTCATCAAAGTTTCATGAGAACTGCTGAAAGCATTTGTCCGAAAACTGGAAAATCCCCCTTTTTTTTATGAACAAAACACCGTAACTTGGAAACGTAAAATCTAAAATTTATAAAAATCAAAAGGGAGCTCATGTCAATAGATATAAACAATTAACCACAATTTATTGCAAGTTGGTGAAAGCATTCTTGAGTTATTGTCCAAAAACTGGAAAATCCCCCTTTTTTAATGAATAAAACCCCATAACTCGGAAACGTAAAATCTAAAATTTATAAAAAACGAAAGGGAGCTCACATCAATAGATATAAACAATTCACCAAAGTTTTATGCAAATTGGTTAAAGCGTTTTTGAGTTAATGTCCGACATGTTGACGACAAACGGACGGACAGACGGACGGACGGACAGACGGACAACGGTATACCATAATACGTCCCGTAAACGGGCGTATAAAAACTATCAGAATGTTAACTGTAAAAAAAAATTAAGTCCATTTATTAGTAAAATACGGGAAAATAAAATATAATTATTTTCAAAATTTTGCTGTGGATACTGTATTTTGGTCATAAACCAGCTTCTGTCCAAATTTCATCTAACTCCATGTATGTTTGACAAAGTAATTGATGTCCCAAAAAACTTTAACCACAGACTGAACCTACCGGTAAATGTTGACGCCGACGCCGACGCTGACGCTGTAATCTCGGATCGCTATGTCTTGCTTTCATGAAATAAATTTCGCAGGCTCAACAAAAATCATCTTTCAGGGCCAATAACTTCTAAACGGGATCAATGGACAATTTCGGCTACATTGACTTGAATGTACCTTTTATTGTTCTGGTCATCTTTACCTTTATCTAGCTTTCAAGACAATACAATAACCAAAAACTGCAAAATTTGCTAAAATGGGCATTTCTGGGACAATAAATCCAAAAATGGTTGTCTGATTTTTCTGAAAATTCCAAAGATCGCCCTTCACCTGCTGATCTTTTTTTTTACCATTGTCAGATTTGCTCTACATGTAGCTGCTTAAGTTTTTTAATGTAAGATATATTAAGCAAAAAAATGAAATTTGCTAAAAATTGTCATTTCAGTAGGAACTGACACTAAGTACTATAATACATAGCACACTGCATGGTCTGTAATTGCATGACAGTGTTTTTTCACCTTTCTCTCCATCTTTGGAAATAATTATAACCGTTTAAGGTAATGAATTGGAAAATAGTCAAATTCTAGCTAGTGTAATTATTGGTCCGAGTTTTGCTCTGATTGCCATTGTAATCAAACTTTATTTGCATCACCCCTTTATTTCTGGCTACTGTGTACAAATTAAAATGCAATGGCTGAATATTCATTCACAAAAAGAAAAGCTTTCAGTATAATTTATTTTGATAACATGTTTCATATATATTATAACCACTGGATCACACGAAAACAAACAATTACAAAAAATAAATTAATTTCATCATGTTCATGTAGAAAATTTGCAATATTTTCATCTACATATTGTAATACATGAGAATAAATACAATCAAAACATGTTTGAGGACAAATACATCATTTTATATTGAATTGCCTAATCTTTGCTTTACAAGCTAGCTGTACATGTAATGAATTATACATATGCATCTCACAAAGCACTTTTACATAACATGTATAACAGAAATATTTTAGAAAAAAAATAATGTTTCAATTATTTTAAGATCATGGAAACTTTTTGAAAGAACACTTACATATACATATGTACAGTCTTTTGTGTTCCTCCTGGTAAAACAAGGAATATTGAAATACATACAGGTGTAACATCTTAAACTTGATTTTAGAAATTATAGAATCACATCCATACATGCATGACATGTAACACCATGAACACAATATATAGAAAATTGTTTCAGATAGAATAAACTTTCAAGCAATTAAGCATCACATTACCATGATGATAAAAAGGCCATGGGGAGAACACTGATACATGTATAACTAAAGTTTTAAGTATGAAATCATTGAAGCAAACATTGAAAGGCATCTTACAATAAATTTTGTCAAATGTGTATCATTTTCCATCTTTATCCTAAAGCATATATAAAATAAAATGCTCCGCTGGGGCGCAGCTTGATACGACCGCAGAGGTCGAACCCTGAACAGTTGGGGCAAGTATGGACACAACATTCAAGCTTGATACAGCACTGAATTTGGATTGTAATTAAATATTTGACACAGCATAGGTTTCTGACACAGAATGAAAGTGGTCTAAGAACTTAAAAATTTTCAATTTACCTATTCATACATGTGATGGACTGTGAAACTCAGATCAGGAGATTGGGAAATTTTGGTCAGGAGATTAGGACTCAGATCAGGAGGTTTTTAATCGACATTAATTTTGTTGTAAATGTAACCGTGTGCTGTAAAAATGGTCTTTTAAAGTGTGTTTTCTTCAACTTTCCAACCAATTTATTATGTTTATAGTACCCTTGTACTTATAAAGTTTCTCCATCTTTATATTCTACATGTTCAATCTAACATTGTTTTTTTCCAGTATGTTCTTTAATTTTTTTACTTCATATTCTATAAAACAATCATTGCAACCAGAACATTTGTTTAGCTGTCTGCAAATAGTTTTTATTTTTTTTTTTTTTTCTCTCTTGCAAATAGTTTTTATTTGCAAACTCAGAAATTCATTCTATCTGTAAAGTTAGGGTCATAGTTATTATATAAATTTCAATTTAAGCCTTAAAAGGAAGTATAGAATCCTCAAATAATTTTCAAATTATTATTTTTTTATTTGTCCTAAGACATTTAAAATCATTTAATAACCATCCTTTTATGATTATTTGTTCAATTTATATTTTATTTATATTCTTTTAAAAATTTTCATTATTAAAAGGAAAGTAACTTAAAACAGGATAAATCAAGGGAAGTAACCCAATAAATACACAGTTTTTGTTACACAACGGCAGTTAGCCTGAGGTAAAAATCGTTGCTTACCAGTATGTTTGACACCCAAGCTGACAAGTGAAGCCATATAATTATGCATGTTAATTGATTTACAGGTAAAATATAACTTCAGGTAATGTCAGTTACACCAGATGCCTGAGATGTTATGTTGGGCAGAAATTTTTCATTCATGAAAAATTTCATACACGGGATTTTTTCAACGGGAGGGGGGGAGGAGACCCCTGAAAACGGGATTATTGTACTCCCGTCGGGAGGTTCACATGTATGCCTATTCAAACCATATCATTATTATTTGCTTTTATATATAAATCAGAAATAACCAATTTAAAATGGAAAATGTTAAAGAAAAAAAAGGAAAAAAAAAATCCCCCCCCCCAATTTTTTGAACCCCCTTATGATTCATCGCCCCCAAACTCAATCCCAGCTTTCCCTTTGTGGTATGGTACCTTGCAGTACAATTTCAGAGAGATTCATACACTTGAACACAAGTTATTGTCTGGAAACTAGAAAAATGCTTGTTTTTTGGCCCCTTTTTGGCCCCAAATTCCTAAACGTTTAGGGCAATTACCCCCAAACTCAATTCCAGCTTTCCCTTTGTGATATGGAACCTTGCAGTACAATTTCATAAAGATCCATACACTTACACACAAGTTATTGTCCTGAAACTAGAAAAATGCATGTTTTTTTTGCCCTTTTATGGCCCCTAATTACTAAAATTTTGAGGGAAAACCCCCAAAATCAATCCCAGCCTTCCCTTTGTGATATGGAACCTTGTAGTACAATTTCATAAAGATCCATACACTTACAAACAAGTTATTGTCCTGAAACTAGAAAAATGCTTGTTTTTTGCCCCTTTTTGGCCCCTAATTCCTAATATTTGGAGGAAATTACCCCAAAAATCAATCCCAGTATTCCCTTTGTGATATGGAACCTTGTAGTACAATTTCATAAAGATCCATACACTTACAAACAAGTTATTGTCATGAAACTAGAAAAATGCTTGTTTTTTGCCCCTTTTTGGCCCCTAATTCCTAAAATTTGGAGACAATTACCCCCAAAATCAATCCCAGCATTCCCTTTGTGATATGGAACCTTGTGGTACAATGTCAGAGAGATCCATACACTTACACACAAGTTATGTCTGGAAGTTACAAAAATGCTTATTTTTGGCCCCTTTTGGCCCCTAATTCCTTAACTGTTAGTACCATAACCCCCAAAATCAATCCCCACCTTCCTTTTGTAGTATTGAACCTTATGGTAAAATTTCAATGAGATCCATTCACTTAAACTAAAGTTAGAGTGCGAAAACTAATGTGTATTCGGACGACGACGCCGGACGACGACGCCGGACGACGACGACGACGACGCCAACGTCATACCAATATACGACCACAAAAATTTTTTTGCGGCCGTATAAAAATAAGGCAGCATAATTTATGAATAACAAAAAAGTTGTGTCGATTTGTAAAATCAAGATCATCAATTTTTAGAATTTAGTAAAAAAAAAATAGAACTCTGAAACAACATCTCAAAAATAGATGACAAGTGACAAAATATATGTGTACATTATGTACATACATGTACATGCACGTTTATAGTTATCATGTAATACATAAAAAGAAGACATACAGGAATTAACACTAATATCAGACAGTACTACAGACCACACAAAACAACTACCACTGACTCCTCCAATAATAGTCCATACAAATAACAATGAACAACAAATGGTCCAGACAGTCTGTCTTGGTATAGACATATTAATATGTAAAGGGGGTTAAACTAGAGTTAACTTTATCATTGTTTATGGTGAACACAAACCTCTCCTTTTACCAATCTACAACATATTTTGTGAAAGTAGAACACATGTAAAATCCTGAACAGTCCAGGTACAAAATGTAGCAACAGGTTGTACATATATATATATCATGTATATGTAATCTACCATTTTTGTCTATCATCATGATCATGGCCTTTTACATTTATTTTATCACTCCAAATTCTGATTCCTGATTTTTATGTTCATTTAAAAATACATATAATGTATATTACATGTATATTACATGTACATAAGCATACATTTACTATAGTGGATGTAAAAGGGCTACACCAAAAACGGCATATGACAGTAGATTATTACCAAAAGAAAGGTAAATACATTGTAAGTATAAAAAATGTACATTTACATGTACAGTATTATGCTGGACACAGACTAAAAACCATTTTGAGGCATTTATTTGACAAAATTTTATGACCCCTTATCCGTTTATCATGTACCTGTAAAGTCCTTTCAGGCTTTCTCCAGAACAAGCCAGACAATGATATCTAAACTAAAGGCTCCATGGAGCATGTAGTACATGTACAAAAATGTATATTGCTCACCTGTCATTTTTTTTAATAAAATAGATAATTGTTGATACAGTACAATAAGAATGTTTGCTTGGTCCAAAATTCTATATATCTTGTTGATCATTTTTGCTGAACCAAGTATCTGTATAAGGCATGTACATGTAAGGATAAACTAGCTAGAACAAAAAATGTTCCATAGAAACTATACTGATACCAATGCCATACCATTATACAACTCTATTTAAACATGTTAAAACATACAACACAAAGTCAATTGTTTTATCAAGCAAGAAATACATCATCTGACAACATTTTCAATTTGAATAAGGTATCATACAAAGGAATGTTTTATAAGATGAGATTTGAGATTTCCTCTTTGGGTGAATGCCTTTCCACATACTTCACAAGTAAAAGGTTTAGTGCCAGTATGTATTCTTTCATGTTCTTCCACATTGACCTTTTGATGAAAGCCCTTACCACAGAAGGAACATCTGAAACGTGGTTCCTCCCCATGTGAACGTTTGTGTCTTCTTAGATGATCATTCCTCAAATAGGATTTTCCACAAATAGTACAAGGGAAATTACGTTCACCAGAGTGTGTAAGTTCATGCCGGTGAAGACATTTAGTATTGTTGAAAGTTTTGCCACATATAGCACACTTATGAGGTTTAAATCCAGAATGTGTACGCTCATGAAGTCTGAGATTTTCTTTCTGTCCAAATCCTTGACCACAAGTTTCACACAAGAACGGTTTTTCGCCACTATGTATTCTTTCATGGTTTTGTAATTGGTGAAGCTGTCTGAATGTTTTACCACATTCTTTGCAGACATGTGGTCTTACGCCATCATGCTTCTTCCTATGTTTCTTTAGCTCTGTCTCATTCCTGTAAACACGGCCACAAGTTTCACAAGTAAATGGTGCATCTTTGGTGTGAATTTGTGTGTGTCTTTTCAACTGAGTAAATAGACTAAAAGTTTGATCACAAAATTTACATTTATAAGGAAGTTCTCTATCAGAGATACATGTTTCAGTCTGTGGGACAAATTTCTTTGATATAGACCCCATATCCTTTGGATTTGATTGGTTTGGAGATGATAAATACATAAAAGTTTGGCTTCCTTTGTCAAATTTTATAGCTACATTTTCTTGAACTGACTTCTTAATGTCATTATCAACAGACTGTTTTCTATTCTGTTCTAATTCTTCTTCAATAGAATCTGAATCACTATCATGACTATCATGACTATAGCTGGGGTTTAAAATTTTGGTTAAATGGTCTCCTAATGAGTGATTATCTTGGTTGTTTGATTTTATGTTCTCCACGGTATATTGTGAATAGTTTGTATCAGGCTTTTCTGATTCCATTACATACAGTTTATTTTGTTCAGTATTTTCAGTCATGGAATTTTCGTCTTCAAAACTTTGATTGACATTCATGATATTGTCAATAAATTGATCATTTCTATTACATGTATCTGAACTTTCCCCTGTTTTTTGCAAGTCAATTCCATTTAATCTATATTGAAAAGTATTTTTGTTCTCTGTAGTTGTTCCTGGTAAGATGATCTCTCCTTTCATTGTATTTATATTTCCAGACTCAATATCACAAGCTATCTCTGTGCTTTTTAGTTCTTCATTAACTTGTCTTAACGACACCATTTCAGATTTACCCAACAGACGTTCTGCTATTTCCAAAAAACTGGCTTCATTACTATTAGCATGTTCACCTTGTTCATCTTTTGATTTGTTCCTATCATGATTTATAGTCTGTTCCTCATTGATTGTTGAATTATGAATAAATGGCCCAGTTACTCTACGAAAGTCCATAGTACATCAACCTACAAAAATAATTACAATCTGCTTAAATCAATATACATACATTGTATATATATACATATATGAATCAAACTTGATACCGGTTTGCTAAAATTTCATGTAACTACATTTGTAGCATCTTGTAAAAAACATCATAAGCGTTTTATGATTTCATTGTTCTGACACCTGTCCTCTTAACAAAATTCACTTGATAAGCCATTCTTGTAAATAAAAAAATGAAAGCATGATAGTCATTGATAAATGATAGTTGCTGTAATCCAGCCAATCAAACTTCATCATCAGAATTGTAAATCAAAGCGTGAATGCACTGTTAAGGCGGTAAGTTACCTACAGGTTTGGAATTTTATAGTCCAGATTAATTATAATCAAACATATTACTTTTCAGGAAAGGCTAACAATATCAGTGGCGGATCCAGAAATTTTCATAAAGGGGGGGGCTCACTGACTGACTCACTAAAGAAGGGGCCCGCTTAGTCATGCTTCAGTGATTCCCTAAATAATAAACCAAATTTTTCCTACAAAAGGGCGGGCCCAGGGTGCCCCTAAATCCACTTCTGGATATTTAGACATTTTTCAATTACAATGTATTATATGGCATGGAAATGGTAATGCTACATTGCATTTCCAAAGAACATATTATTGTACGAGTAAATTAATGCAATAATATCTTTTAAATTAAAATTTTACCAGCTACAGAGCAACTTTAAATTGACTTTTTTGAGAAACAAATTGTTTTGTATAAATGTTTATACTAAAAAAAAGTGCAATTGAATACAATTTTGGTTTTCACTAATTGTGGTTATTCACATCTCGAGTTTAAATAAAAAAAGACCATTCCAGTTTATCATGATAGCTTGGTGTGAATTTATTGCAAAAACATTGAGTTATACGGTATCATACCTGCCAACCCTCCCGTTTTGAGCGGGAGTCTATTAGTAAATTTGTAGGATACTTATACAGTTATACAAGTGTATTTTATTTACTAGTATAGGTAAATTATTTTTTGGCTTAGTTATGTCTGTTAGACATTCAGATATTTTTACTTATACAAGTAAAAAAGTCATCCACAATGAAAATCTCATTTGTCTGTTATCTTCAGAACACTGCTCATTTACAAGCCCCCAAGGGGCAATTTTTGAAGGCCTTGCGCAAATACTTAAGATCTTTGCACAATTAGTTTCTTTGTTGAATTAATGAGATGAAACAATGAACTCTAATAAAAAATTATGAGCTAACCTGAGAAAAATTGTTAAAGGCATGTTTTTACATCTCAAAACTTGAGAATTTTTCGGGAATGTACAAAAAAATTATTTATACAAGTAAATTTTTGAGAAAAATAAGGGGAGATTATTCAAACATTATGATTTACTTATATAAGTATATTATTATTTACTTCTTCAAGTAAATAAAGATTACTTGTACAAGTAGTACCCCTGACTGTATACTCTGGATACTAACCATCATGACTATGCTAACTGTCTTTTGGTCTTAAAAAAGCCTCTGTCCAATTTGCATAAAATTCCTTGATGGTTTGACAAAGTTATTGGTCATGTTGAAAATTTAACCTTAGACTGTACCTAAAATGTTAAATGTAAAAAAAAGTCCATTTATCAGGAAAAAATAGAAAGATAATAAAAAGCAAATGAAGATCAGGAAATATATACTCCATTAGTATATAATGTCATTAATGACAGAAGGTACCAAAGGTAAATATGTCTAGAAATTTGTCTTAAAATCAACATGTCAGAATTTGTAACTGCTACATGAGAATGGTTACACTGGTGACAACAGTAGCATTCACTATTTTAAGTTTTTCGTATATGTATATGTACAGAGTTTGATCACATTCTCATTTTACTGGCATTTTTTCAGGGTTACAATGGTTATGTTACAATGCAGAAACACTTGGTTAATTAAAATTGCTGGGTTACATTGGTTAAAACATTCACTTTCAATATTTATATGAACTAAGAAATGCTTTTTTCCCAACCGGCTTCATTCCCAAATCAAGTCACAAGGTTACAATGGTTACATTTGTACACTCTCTAGTAACACTGGGTTACACTTTAAATTAAAATCTGGAAATTTCTGGGTTACTCAGTTACAATGGTTACATTGGTTACAATGGTTATTACATTCACTTTCAATATTTCTCAGAAGTATTTTTTTTAATAACAGGCTTGATTCAGTTACACTGTTACAATAGTTACACTATACATGTAGAAACACTGGGTTACACTTTAAATTATAATCTGGAAATTTCTGAGTTACAATGGTTACATAGGTTACATTCACTTTTGCAACTTTTTTCATTCTCAAGACTAGTTACACAATAACAATGGTCAGTGATGGTTATACTATATTAAGTCTTAAGAATGAAACCAGTTTATAAAAAAGTACTTCTGATAAATATTTAAAGTGAACGAAACCATTGAAATCATTGTAACCCATGTAACCATTGTAACCCATGTAGCCAATGTAACCCATGTAACCCATATAACCATTGTAACTCATGTAACCATTGGAACCAATGTAACCCATGTAACCATTGTAACTCATGTAACCATTGTAACCTATGTAACCATTGTAACCCATGTAACCCATGTAACCATTGAAACCCATGTAACCATTGTAATCCTTGTAACCCATATGACCATTGTAACCCTTGTAACCAATGTAACCATTGTAACCCATGTAACCATTATAACTCCAGTAACCATTGTAACCAATGTAACCATTGTAACCAATGTAACCACTGTAACCAATGTAACCATTGTAACCCATGAAATATTGTAACCCATGTAACCATTGTAACCCATTTAACCATTGTAACCATTGTAACCCATGTTACCATTGTAACCCATGTTACCATTGTAACCCATGTAACCATTGTAACCCATGTAACCACTGTAACCCATGTAACCCATGTAACCATTGTAGCCCATGTACATTGTAACTATTGTAACCCATATTACCATTGTAACCCATGTAACCATTGTAACCCATGTAACCATTGTAACCTACGTTACCATTGTAACCCATGTAACCATTGTAACCCATGTAACCAATGTAACCACTGTAACCATTGTAACCCATTTAACCATTGTAACCCATGTTACCATTGTAAACCATGTAACCATTGTAACCCATGTAACCACTGTAACCCATGTAACCATTGTAACCCATGTAACCATTGTAGCCCATGTACATTGTAACTATTGTAACCCATATTACCATTGTAACCCATGTAACCATTGTAACCCATGTAACCATTGTAACCTACATTACCATTGTATTCCATGTAACCCATGTAACCATTGTAACCTACATTACCATTGTATTCCATGTAACCCATGTAACCATTGTAACCCATGTAACCATTGTAACCTACGTTACCATTGTAATCCATGTAACCATTGTAACCAATACTACCAAGGAATGCTTGTCGTTTCATAACCTGGTCGTTTCGTAACTAGGTCGATTCGTAACTGAGACATTTCATACCTGGTGTAATTATATATGGTTTTAAAGTGTGTCTCTCAAAATATCAGAGATAATCTGCAGAAAGGAAAAAAAATGCCAATCAAAAACCAAAAAAGATTATATCTTTCTGAAACACAAAATGCAGTTAACTTTTATATATCTAGTGGATGCCAGGCCTTAAAACTTTTCCAACTGGACAGGTAAGTCTGTACTCGGAGTAGTTTTTGACAAATACAGCCATATTTGTCCGTTTGTTATGATGAACCTTAACATGTTTAACCAATGCAACCATTGTAATTCAGCATTTGCTTGATTCTCATTATTTGCTCTTGTTACCTATTGTAACCATTCTCATGTGCGGGTTACAAATTCTGATGTTTTGTTTTTAGGACACATTTTTTGGACATATCTATGTTTTAGGCCTTGTTGTATTCATGACTATTTTTGTTTTGTACCTAGCTATTGCCTATATAACGATATAGCTCTACACGAATATAATATAAATAACAAAAATACTGTTTAAGATGGCACTAGTATATTACCTAGATGAACACAGGGTAACTGACTATAGGCCCATTAAATGCAAAACTGTACACACGATTGAAATAATTAAAAATGTTGAAGTTCCTTGTTATCGCCCCTTGTTTGTGTGGTCTAGGCAATTACCACATTATAACTTTCGTGACAGTTATCCAACAACTTCCCCAAATACAACCCATTATAGATCATTATATTCCAGTCCATAGATTAACCAAAAAACATTTAAAAAAAAAACACACACGGTCTCACTAATTAGCGACAAGAAGAGTTTAAGAGGCAAGAAGTGACTTTGTTAGATACTATCATATACGAAAACCAGGGGTGCATTTTGCGAGAACTGAACGTGACTGATAATATGTGTAATAGAATTTACAGTATAGCTAGTTTGAGGGGAAAACTTGAATTTTCTCGCGAAATTGAGGATTGAAAACAGATTTCTTTACACAATCTTCAATCTCAATCTTAATAATGACTACATAATTGTTTAACAATTAATTTTATCCATTTTAAATTCAGTTTGGATCAGTGCTGATATATATATATATATATTCAAGATAAAAAGGCATGAATTTGACAGATACAAAATATTACAAAGACACAGATATAGCACTAGACATAGTTTATAGACACTAAAATGATATACATGTTTACTAAAAATTTTAATTTGAAAATTAAAATTATGAAAATTTTCATGATATTTTGATAATATGAATAGACTAGATTAAATAATGAGTGAAATTTAAATTGACTAGATTTTCACTGTAGCCTATTATCTTAGGATGACCCACAAAAGTTATTAAAACTTATTTCCAGTGGGGTCCTTTTATAACTAGACTTCCAGTTTACACCAAGGGTTGACACATAGAAAATACAAGCACAAATCATTTAGAATTTATCACAGATATATGGTCAAAGCCCCAGTATAATTAATAAAAAAACAAATTCACTATAATAATTGCATGTTAAAGTTTTGTGACGCGGTATGTATTCCGTATGAGCAGAAAAGGTCAAATGAACAATTTATTATGGAATGGTATATATATCCTCGTGTCATGGGTTTTCGTGATATTAAGAATGCATTGTGACGTCACAATTTCCATTGAAAAAGCATGCACAGTACGATTTCATATGACGTACGAAAACATAATTATGATCTGACCATAATTATCTGATGACTGATGATAAAATGAATGTTTACAGGTTCTGCTGTAACAAATAAACTTTTTTTGTAGACCGGAGCTGTGTCAATATCCATTATGCGCCTCAAATTGAGGAACACAAAAGTATTGCATACACAAAAAATCTCTGTGTGGTGATATTGGAATGTTTTAATTATTAACAAGTGACTGAGCTTAACCATGTGTGGTGATTTGGAGAGCAGATAGCCATAGAATAAAGGTGCAAAAACTATGGAGTTATTAAATGTATGCAAAAAAATAAATTTCAAAGAACTTGAAAAAGAGATTTTTTTACCTCGAGAAGCCGCATCACAAAAGGCTTTTCGGGGTGTACTAAGTTATGGAAAAACGAATCTCACTTCGTACCCCGAAAATTTAACCACATATGTGAAAATGTCTCAGCTTCAAAACGAGACATCATGCATATCCAAGTTTACGATATGAGCAGAGGAATTGAGGAAAAGGCTACCATAATCGCCTACCTGAAATCAATTGCGCATCTGTACCCATCTGCTTCAAACTTTGTACCAACAAAAACATTAAACTATTTAAACTAAAAGGATCAAAATAGCATAGACTGAGTACATAGAGGATGGAGAAAAACCAGTTATATCATCAAATTGCAAACACAGCATGTATGGAATTGGATGGAAAATACCAATTAAACGTAAAAGTCTTATAATTTGGTACGCCTTGTCCAGTACTATGAAGACCATAGTGTTCCAAAAGACAGAACGTATACATTGCTTGATTCTGCCAACAGCAAGGACATTGTTACAAACTAGAACAAATGATATACAAAGCATGGATAGCTGCATTAAATAGATTAATCATTTATTCGGATCTGCATTGTGTTAAGAATGAACATTGCATGCAACAAATATCAGAAAATGTCAATTTGTATTTTCTGAAGTCAGATCTGTGGTTTTGACATTATATTATCAGAGAAGCGCAAATGGACGCATGCATGAAATTGAAAGAAAAAAAACAATGTTATTTTCATATCTAAATATTTAATATGTCCAACACCCTTAATACAAAGAGATGGTGTTGGATAAGCCACAAAATTAAAAACGGTCCGATGGAACAACTGTCGAGTTCCAGTGACATGATTAACACCAGGAAAAGGAAATGTAGGAAAATCAAAGGAAATTATGAGGCGTATAGTTGTTAAAGAAAGAGTAGGCATTTGGTAGAAGGGCTTTGGGAGAAGTCGCACAATATACAGCAGAGGGACCGAGATGAAAGCTTCCGTTCGTGCCCTATGCGACACACAGCTCTAATAGGAACTGTAAGTTGTAGAAAATGAAAACAACACGTAATAAATTTCATGTGTCCGAAGAATTTACTTTCACCAGGAAGGCTCAAAGCCGAATATTTGAAGCCAAGGGTGTATAAGAACCGAAACAGTTGAAGAGCTATATGACCAAAAAGGACCTAAAAAATAGCAAAATCCACCTAAGGTCAACTTTGCCTGAGGGAGTTGAAACCTCAGTTTCTTTATAATTTCGAAATTTATGAACGGACAATTTAAGAAAGGTTTGTTACCGTCATGCCAGTAACGAAGTACTGAATACTGAGCTTATGCTAACATCGTAAGTTTGCATTAGGAAAATGATCTTTAAAATGTATACTTTTTGTAATAAGGCTTAAACTAGATTTTATGACAAATATAATGAATATTGGTGTAAGAGGTGGTATTTGACACTTCTTTATAAGAGGACAGTATATATAAAGGAAACAATAAAGCACTGTGACTTGGATCTTTGTGTCCTGTTTTTAATTTTCTTGTAATAAAGGTAATATACTTATTTTTTGTTATGTATTTTTAGGGGAGAAATATCGATTTGCTCATTTAGAGTTTGAAACACGAATAAACGATGTTGAAATATTTTTTTATTGTGCGGACATAAAGTACCCAAAGAAAAAAGTATGATAAAACCACCTATTAAGCCCCTTGAATTTGAAATGCAAAAAGTATATCATACCTTTAATATGCCATATTTAAGAGGTTCACAACAGCCTTTTAATTAAGTTTTGTAAAGTATCAGTATTTATACATATTTCCTTTAAAATTTAAAACTTCTTGCTTTCAATGCTAAACTGGGAAAAGGCCTTCTTTTAAGGTCTTGTCAGTGATATTTAGATACGGACCAACCCTTACAAAAATGGATATTTCCGTACAAGATGTCTGATACAAAGATGTTAATGAAGGTAAACAAATGGGTATTTGGTAGATATATAATTTTACGAAACACTACGGATGAAAGGTTTTTAGATCAAATATGTGATTTTCAACATTGTTTTTTACATCATAGTAACCTTATAACTGACATTTCTGTACAAAGTGTTTAGATTACCAGATAGTATATGGGAATATCATCTTATCTAGTTAGATTACCAGAAAGTATCTGGGACTATCATCTTATTTAGTAAGATTACCAGATAGTATTTGGGACTATCATCTTATCTAGTTAGATAACCAGTAAGTATAGGGAATATCATCTTATTAAGTTATATGATAGTCTCAGATAGTTCATCATACTTTTCACTTGCCGATAAAACTAGCATAATGTGTAAAGGATTGAATAATATTTTTGTCAGACTCATTCCAGGGAACAGATTACGGCTCTAATCATAACGCGCTGAAGTACTTTCATTATTCATTTTTCATTATTCAAAATTCAATAATGAATAATGAAATAGTTCACTAATCACTATTCAATGTTAAGTGATGAATAATGAATAATGAAATAGTTTATGTTTCATTATTCAAGTTGAAGCGGTGAATAGTGAAATAAAACAAAAATTTGACTGTGACACTATAGCTATATCCCGTATTTATACATTAGTCTTTTTGGTGTTATCTAACAAATATTCAAATTGATATCAGAAAAAATAAATAAAAACACTCTTTAAATTTTAATTTGATTTATTTATCTGGTTCCTAGTTTCGGAGGATAAACTAGTGGGTTTTCCGCACTATTTTTAACAGAAATTCCTTGGTTCAATGTATGGACGACCTGAATACCAAAACATATATATATATATATATATATATATATATAAATCAAAATACTCTATGTGGTCTTTTTTATTTTCACTGGACCTTTGCTATTCTTCATCCTCTACATATAGATATAACAGGTCGATTGTTCAGCAATGACCATAAGAGGGGTTACGGAGGACCTAAATGCCAAAATACGCGTGAAAATTATGAAATAGCCAATTTTGAATAATAAAATGGATATTTTGAATAATGGAATGGACTGCCGCGACCTTCTACCTCATTCGAAAGCTTATTAAGAGAGAAACAAAAGGTATATAGTCAATATGTTCCGCAACGCATGTTAGAGGAATAACGAAGGACTTAAATATCGAAATACGCGTGAACATTAAGAAATAGCTTATTTTGAATAATGAAATGGACTGCTGCAACCCGTCAGTCCCTAATCAAGGAAAAATTTATACACCAAATTAAAGCTTATTGATAGAGGAATAAATTGAGTATCAACGATATGTGCCGCAATGACCATTAGAGGGGTTACGGAGGACCTAAATGCCAAAATACACGTGAAAATTAAGAAATAGCCAATTTTGAATAATGAAATGGATATTTTGAATAATGGAATGGACTGCTGCGACCCTTTAGCCCCTAATTATAGATATACCTTATACCTCATTCGAAAGCTTATTAAGAGAGAAACAAAAGGTATATAGTCAATATGTTCCGCAACGCATATTAGAGGAATAACGAAGGACTTAAATATCGAAATACGCGTGAACATTAAGAAATAGCTTATTTTGAATAATGAAATGGACTGCTGCAACCCGTCAGTCCCTAATCAAGGAAAAAATTATACACCAAATTAAAGCTTATTGATAGAGGAATAAATTGAGTATAAACGATATGT